CTCTTCATTTGCGTGGGCGTCCTCAGCTTGAAGTTTCAAGGTTCCGCATTCGCCAGCTCAATGAAGTTAATAATCCACAGTCATTCCTGTCACCACGCTAAGATAAGAAATTGCACTGTGCAACATTGCAATTTACCTGAAATGGGCTACACTCTAATAATAGATTGATTTCGAAGACATTCATTTGTGTACCTTCTCGTTTAAGTGCGGGAAGACTAACTCCATCAGTTCTTCTCGGAAAACTGCTGTACATAAATATACTCGCGAAACGTTTCATAGACAAAAGTCGTTTTATTTTTGAGAACTGATTATCAATGGCGTGAATAGAATATCCTATATTTGTTGTAAACACAACAGATTAGTTCATATCCGTGGCTGTGAAGTCTATAATGTCACAGAAAGATATGACGAGACTAATATATGTTACACCGAAGGGGCTTATACGGATGAAACCACTAGGTATCTACTTGTATAACAGACAAACAAACAAACAAACAAACAAACGAACCATGACAATGCCATGTTCACGTCATCTCGAAGCAGATCCCTTTCGGTGGCAAGGCAGAGGAGTCTGTACCTTCGGTGGCCGTGCAAACTCCTCTGGCTATAAATGGATATACTGTCTTGCCACCGAAAGGGATCTGCTTCATTGTGAAAGAGAGGAAGAAACAACTGGGGGAAGCCTGCTATGAGTTGCAAATGTGTAGCTCCTCTGGGAAACCATTCAGCCTATATGCTACAGTTGATGCATATTTGTTGTCGTCCTTTTACCAAACTCCGTGTTCACAGATTGGCCCCTTGAGACATAGACAAGCCGTGATGAATGAGTAAGAATGTAGTGCTTAGCCGATATGAAATTTCAGGACGGTATGGATCACAAGTGTCCTTGGACAGTATCTTCAAGGACTTTTATTTCTATTTATAGTTCCCTTGTTTTGTTGGGATTATCTATGACAGGGCCGTGCTCATCAGACGATAAAGAGGCAATTGGGTCAGGACAAATTGTCCTTTCTTGTAGTGCATTTCCTGATTATGGAGCACTTGTCGCCCAAAACAAGCTCCGAATCTGATTAGTCACTGCTCGCGCACAACTTCCAATTTCCGTAAAGCTTTATCTTCGAGCAGTCCCGTCTGAATTTCCCTGCAACACTCTCTAGATATCTCTTAATAAATCGTCGACGATTCTACATTTGCGCTCTCAGGTGGTGAGTCGTTTCACCGCCTTCCTACATCGTTTGACGTCCGAACTCAGCAATCGCTCCTTCCCCTGAAGATTGAGTGCTTTTGTCGCGCAATCCATGTGAGAGTCCTTGGTGGAAGTTTCGCGCAGCCATTTCTCATCCGGTGTTTGATCAGTAGAGTGGAAGATTAGGGTCAAGGATGATTTGTGTTGGCGGAGCTTTTTAAGTGTCACCGTCGGACTGTTTACCGACCTGGTCACATAAGAGTCCTTTAGACTCCACGCAAGAACGACATTTTCACGAGCCTCACATGACACGACTTTAACAATGAGTGTTCGTACTTCAAAGCCGTGGCTTGGCTGTGATTTACTGTGTCGGTGACGCACAATCACGGTGTTGTCGTTTTCATCATACGATCCGCTTCGGCAAACAGTAGGATAGCAGGCCGTGTAAGGGAGACCAGGGCAGGGCCAGGAATATACATCACATATTTAGGTCAAGGTCCTTTACGTAAGTGGCACTCTCAACATGGGGCTGACCAGTGTGAATGTCCCAGATTGAGGGTGAAAATAGATGTGATGTCACTCAAGATTGTCCCTTTTCAGAGTCAGATGCTAGGAATGCATCAGTGTTGACAGAGGGACGAGCCTCTTAAGATAGACACGATAGATAGATATGATGGATAGGTAGACGAATGGATAGATGGAGGGCTATAGATCATAGCATGGGTTGATGAATGGACAGATGGACTCGTACATAGATATAGAAAGAGAGAGATACAGATAGAGCTGTAGATCACCGCAGATGATGTATGTAGTGTAGTTAAGTTAGTGTAGGATTATGGTGATGTATCATTCATTTTGCCGGTGTCAAGCAGATGTATATTCTTTAGTTTATTCAATACTTTTCAGTATGTTCTTTAGTTTATTCAATAGTTTGCCCTTTTCCTTACCCAACATTTCGATAGTTGCCCATGTCTACTGTCATTATTTCCTTCCGTGTTCATCTCTGCTTTTACCATATTTCTGTTAATTTGAAGTCACCTCGGGAGCGGCGACACCCTAATGTAGTAATCAGAGCTCTCCTGGGAGAGTGGGGAAAGCTAAGCCGTGAACGTAACAAACGAGCCTGTGTATCACTGATGACTGATGGGAATTTGTTGCCAGGAAACCCGCGCATGCCTTTTAATTCAAACAAGTGTGAACAAGGCAGGTATTAGTGCCAAGGACAACTGTGACGGACCGGCGTCCTTCGTTTTAACTGTTATTGATGTTGTTGGCGCCATGTTTGCTTTGTAACAAGTACTTTCTCTACGGCTACGGCATAAACACGGAGAAACTCACTGTGTTGATCAATGATGAGTTCTTGTAACTTCAAGAAGACAAGGAGACAGGCAGAGCACTCTAAACTCTACACAGAGTGAATGTAACATTAGCTGTGTGTGTGTGTGTGTGTGTGTGTGTGTGTCAAAAACAATCTCGTACTACTGACTCGATATAACTCACGTTTCCGTCTTGTATTGGTTCCGCGTTCATGGCAAGCCTATTCGGTCTGTGTGAGTTGTTTTGGGGGCGCGTTAACTTACAGTTCTTTGAACACATTGAGACAGAATAAAATATCCCCACCCCCCCTTGAACGAAGGATACCATCAATACCAAACTGCTCTCCCCTACAGGACTGTACATGTTCTAACGGCTCAACCAATACCTTATCGTACCGCTTACCAATGCCTGTAAACTTTTAAGGCTGTCTAGGGAAACTTATACCTGACCAATAAAACCGATCTTCGTGTTTCCAGCCTTGCCCTACACCGTATAATATTGATCCTGAGTTTTATTGCTATGTTGTATCTTTCCGGTTTATTTTTTACGATTTGAGTAGTTGTTTTTTCCTTCTTCGTTTTTTTCTGTGGCTAGAGCATGCACGTCAGACATCTTGTAATATCCTCATCTCTCGCCGTTTATCCCGGACCTCACATATGATGTATCCAAAACATGCTAATGGACCAATTTGTCCTGGAATATTCACTTTAAAGCTTGCCATTAAAGCTTGTTTCGCACACATATGCCCAGATCCGGTACCAACTGCGTATTTAAACCAAACAGTTCGAACTTCACCTTAGGTCATGGCGACAGTCGTACTGTGTGGTACATGTATATAGATGTCTTTACTGTCGTGTTTTGAAGGTAAATGGAGGCCATAGATCTAGACTTGATGACTTTGTGACTTCTACTTTTGAATATTTGTTCCGTTCGTTTCGACCTTGTGTTTGATTGGCGCATGTCAGCGGCCGTAACCCCTCGGCCTGACACTGACCCACACAGTGGACACATCAAACACCGATCGATGCTCTATCTTAATTGGCTTTGCGCTCGGCAAGTGTTTGCCGGAGCGGAGTAGGCACTCACCCCCGGGTGACGTTTTGGCGTGTGGCGGGTGATAAGAAAATGGGAAACAAGAAGTGACCCCTCGTAAAAGTCGTATAAACTAATACAAGGTTGCCTGTACGAGGCGTAATTGCAGAATACTAATGGTAAAAGAGCTGAGGCAGTGGTAGAAAAGGAACTTCAGAGCTTTTGGCACTAGGCTGAAAAACGAACTTGATGTATTTATCCTAATATTCCTCAGCTTTGCACATTTAAATGAATCAGAAAAATTCCTATTTCTCATGAAACTTGACAAACCATGTATCACTAATTCTATATGCTCGTACATCTATAACTGCGTCAAGAAGCGAGAAGAAGTCGAACAATGTAAATAGTAGATCACATTAGTATGTATATGGCTGACAGGCTGAATAAAAGTTCTAAACGGGAACTATGCGGCTCCAGATGTCTTACTGAGGGACGACTGCGTGTGCAAGATGTCGGTAGCTTGAGGAATGAATCCCCTCTACTATATACCACATTAGTATGTATAGTTAAAGTATCATTGCTTGTCTATCCATGACCTGTACTTAGCTTGTTAGAGCACAAACGTACAATAAAGGTCTTTAATTCAATATTGCAGCACGCGGTAATCTCCAAGCAGGGTGGCGTATTAGACCTTCTCTGGCGCGCCATGAATGGATACTGCCTGTCCAATTTGATACTGTCTTTTGCCACCCTAGGATCTGCTTGGAGATTATAGTGTGGTAGCGCAGAGACAAAACATCCCGAAATGGGTGCACGGGAAAGTTGCCGCGGTAGAATTATTACTGTAACCACCATATATACCCATACATATGTGAGCGCATGCAACAACGTTTACCGAATCATCAACGACCATCGGTAGAATGATACCAATATGGTCCGGAGATGGTCATACTCACGGAAGATAATATTGGACGCAGAAACTACGCCAACGTAGATTTGAGTTTCTTTCCGTATTAAAAACTAGAAACAAGAAATCGGAATTTCAGACTTAGACAGGAAGTATGCTATTCTCGGCGTCCTGAATTCCCCAATTCCTGTTGGCTCACGGTCATTCTGAGACCTCTGACGGCTTCCTTTCATTCTGCCTGTCAATCTTTCCACCCACGTGCTGCCATCCTACACTGTCCGACAAACTTACACAGAACCCCACAGATAACCCACCCAAAACAACACCTCCATCCCCGAAAGCAATAACTAAAACTAACGTCTTTCTCTATCGTTGTTATCTTCAAGGTTGACCATCAAAAAGTACGGTTAGTGAGACATTTTCGGTTGCTGTAGGCGAAACAATAATGAAGCTGACTTTTTTGACCCGATTTTGACTTTCAGATTGGCCTAAAGTTCCCTTTGTGAGAGTCAGCGCCGCCGAGAGAACTGCTGTCAACCTCTCAGTCTCAGTTCCTGAACCCGCAGCCCACGCATGCGAGCAGGTACTGAATAAAATTTTCTCCGCAGAAACTCAGTAGAGATCCGATGTGTATTCAATAAAATATCTTTGTCGAGATATGCCCAGGTATAACTGAATAGTACTTACCGTTGAAGGTTAAGTTGAATTACAGTACGTTTCCCTCATCATATATACGTTAAATCCTACCTGAATATTTCCTGGTGTACAAACATACAGCTAGCGCACCGAGAAGCACAATGTATTGAGTCAGCCATGTACCCACTAGTATATGTGTCCCTTGTACTCGTTTTTATTAATAGTTGTGATAGTTACGTCACGCAGAAAAAATATAGCGAACATAATTTATGACGAATTTTCCGGCTGACAAAGAACTTGTCACGTGGATCACGTACTGTCTAGTCGCTGTCGACACGTGTGCCGTTAGAAATCTACATTGCAAAAAAACACTAAAGACAGAATTAGAAACCCTGCCCATGGAAAGAGTGGTTCAGAATATCAATCCTGGTGTATATATATATATAGAGAGAGAGAGCCCGCAAATGAGATTCTATCATGCCATCATTTCATTAACGTCCTAAAATACAGTCTATTTATTAAACAAAGGTCAGTGACCACCTGAAGGTTAAGCCGTGGCTGTGCCAGGACTGAGGTCTATAATATCGGTAGTGTTGAAGATGATGGATGAAGTGGTAGGCACATGTTGGATGAAATGATCTGTCATCAGAGTGAAGTGCCCATATCTATCCTTGTCCTGTCAGCACGGTCATCAGTCCAATGTCTAGTCGAACGGAGAGGAGGTTAACAGAAGATGATGCACTCTTGAGTGGGGGTGGAGGAAATGATGTGGAAAGTAGAGGATTTGCGGTGCTTCACCTTCACCTTGTCCCATTATTGCGGTGCATTTAATCCTCTGGAAATGAACCGTCAATCTAGTCAAGTCATGATCAGGACAACATCCTATGGTGGGGCATCTAGATTGACAGGAAGTGTATAAGACGGGGCGGCTGGGAATGATTTAAAATGTGGAGAAGGTGCAGCACTGACACGGCTTCTGTCTCCTATCATCTTATTCCTGCCGTCACGTATCGACCTGATGCGACCGAACAATTGTGGCAGGCAGCCAGTCAGTACGATTGGAAGTTTGCACTCGCAACCTAAGTGGTTAGAAGAGGTTTACTAAAGTAGACTCATTGTGAGCATACTAAGTGATGGATGAAAGCCTATGACGAGTTGCTCTGACACTGGCGATCTAGAGAAATCAGGTCTCCCCCTCCCCCTTGCAGCGTTAGCTGTTTCGCTAGTGTAGGTGGTACATCACAAGAAAAACGTCAGCAGGAGAAGTGAACAAATTCTGCATTTTAGTAATGGTTTTCTCACTCAGAGAGCACAGAGAATAATGGTCTCTCCTGCTAGGCGTTCGACGATTAAAGAGGAAACTCGCGTGAAACGCCGTTGATAATTACTCTGCTTTGATCCCCTGCCTCTCATGGTGCTCAACTGGCGCTGATAACAAGTGTTCTAACTTTATCTTCATTGCCACATTTTCGAAGTGGTTTTATGAACAAATGGACCTTGTACTCAGAAGTTGTGGTGACGCCGAATGCACGAGTTTTAGTCGTGTGACTTTGACCGCGCGCGTCAAAAAGGCGGCGCCGCCTTGTTCAGAGGTAATCCCTACCGCATGACTTTGGGAATGTCTGCAACCGGAGATACGTAGGGAACCCGAGTTTTGAGTTGCTAATGTTGAACTCGGCCATTCAGAGGAATTGAAGGAATATCTTAAGGCATGGAAAAAGGGGGAAGGCGTTATGGCTTTACTTTAGAGAAACGAAAGACCTGATCCCCTTAACTTCCATTCTACATGAATTCCTTCCATCACAGAGCACTTGTCACGAAATTCTACGAATGCGTTTGATGTTCGGACTTTGCACCTTTATATATATCTATAGGGAGGTTGGCTGTATATAAATCAATTGTAGAGTGAAATTCCCGTTTCTTTGCAACACATAAGAGCCAATCAAACAAAAAGCTGACTCATGCAAGGTAAAGTAGCAGTTCTCCATGAACTGTCAGAGGTGACAAGGGCAGCTGGTATCACCTGAGCGAACAATTGTGTTTGGTTACCTTGCATCGCGGCACGTCTGATTGCCGAGACTTTTGACACACATGGCGCGCCGCCAGCAACATTATCAGCATTCATATCACACATGAAACGTTATACGAGAAGACAATTAAGTTAAATGAAACAGAAGATGTTGTTTTTGCCATAAACTAGAAGTGTGCCAGAGGACGAGAGAGAATATGTAGAAAACTTAACATATGGAGGTTCACACTTTACTTGTCTTCCCAAAACTACATCACATGGGAAGTTTCAATGTTTCAAGGTCAACTTTTTTTCAAGGTCAACTTGCAAAATCCAGCGTAAATTTAACAACAGTGGGGAGACCGTCAAATAGGCCTATGAATAACTTTTGCATGGCGTAGATCGATGTTACTAGTACTGTTTCGACCGAATACTGTATTACTTTCAGACAGTGTCCGTTTGATCATCATGAATGTTTCGCACTTTCGGTACTTTAGTAGCCTGGGACAATGAAACATTGCCACAAGCCGTTTTGTAACATTGGGAACAGGGAAAAGTTGCTATGAAAAATCATAGGAAATAGTGCCCAAACAGTACACGTAACGGTGTTAACGTTACCAAGGACATTGTGTGTAATGTCCTTGACGTTACTATTAAGGGAGAGGTTGACTGTACCGTTATTTGGTCGATCTTTGCTCCTTATGCCCGGTCAGCCGAACGATAGGCCATTACCCAGTCATTGTCCTTCAGGCAAACATGGTAATGACCTTTGAAATACCGCTGAATTTGGGGAGGAAAAGTACGGAGTCGAAGGTCGCTTTCAGACACTGGTTTTACGAAGTTCTGAAATACTCCTGGGCGTGCAGTATTAAATATTGTCGCCAGAGGTCGCTGTTGTGTAATCACCCCGCTGTTGCCTAGCGACGGTGTACCCCGAATTCAAGATGGCGAAGGGAGACAAGAAAAAGAAAGACTCTGCCAAGAAAGAGTCGAAATCAGAACCACCTCCCACCGAAACACCGAGCGAGGAAAAGAAAGAAGAAGATGTCCCAACAGAGACTGCAGAGGAGACGGCCACAGAGACGGAAACTAAGGTTTGGGGCTGTTTTTAATGCTAGGCAACGCCGTTTACTGTGTGTGTATGTGTCGGCTATGGGAAATTATGAGTTGCCTTGCAAATCTGATTTATGGATAGTTTAGGCCAAAACCAGTTACATTCATTCAAATGTCCACATAAGACAAATCAGTAGCTGAGTGATGTATACATTCTTTCTGAGCATATCAAGCCATAAAGAGATATCATCATCGAAAATTGCTAATACTGCCATTAGTGTGTGTGTGTGTGTGTGTGTGTGTGTGTGTGTGTGTGTGTGTGTGTGTGTGTGTGTGTGTGTGTGTGTGTGTGTGTGTGTGTGTGTGTGTGTGTGTGTGTATAGTTACTAGTAGTCAACAGTGAACTTGAAAAAACTGTCAACTTTGATACAACTTACTACAGTATATCTGATCTGTGTTCTTGCAGGTTGAGGAGCCGCCACCCAGAGAGCCCACCCCTGAACCAGACTATGATGAACCTACCCTTACAGACCTTATTGTTGAGGCGTAAGTATTTGGGGCTCTCAGTGTGGTTGAGTGTAAAGTAGAAACCTCTTTGTGTTTCTTTAACATCAAGGTCAAGAAAAATGTACAAAATATCCTACATTTTTAGACAATCTATATGTTCTTGTATGTATTTTAACTCTTAACTTTTGTCTCCTCACCTCTCCAGGTTTGAAGGTGAGAAGTTGCGAGGCCTGTATGAGGGAGATGGAGTGGCTAAGTTTGCAGGAGAGCATGTGTATGAGGTAAATTCTAATCCTTTAATTACCTTAAAAATCTTTAAGCCAAACTCGATAAAGAGTTACAGTTACACAAGAGTACATGCCTGAACTTACATGCAGTACATTGGCACAATGTGGTTACAGAGATGTTTCACAATTATCACCTATGACAATCAGCAATTCTACATGCTATTGATGAGTGCTCTAAATGCAATGGTAGCCTATCAATAGAATCACACAATATTTATTCAATTGCATACATAATAAATAGTATTGACAAGAAACTGGTTTTATGTAGATTTTAGAGTCAACTTCTGGTCTCCCTTGTCCTGTAGGGTCAGTTCACAGAAGGTCTGATGCATGGCAGAGGGCGTTACACCTGGGCAGATGGTATCACTTATGAGGTAAGAAATCAAACTACAACCGCCACATTTAAACTTTGCAGATTCACAAAATTATGTTTCTTTGCATGCTTTTTCTTTGTAAATTTGGACTGAGTTGCTGAAATTTGGACTGTCTTCATGGTATTCTGACAACTCATTATGAAACTACTCATCAGATACAAAGTACGCTTCAAAATAATGCAATGAGAGGACAATTGACATCTTCCCATCTACAAATATTCACACATTTTCTTAATGTTCCAGAAGAGGATTTATCATGTGTCAATAAAGTAGTAATATTTTCACAATATGAACTAATTCCCTAATTTCCAAGCAGGTTGTACAGTGGCAAGGTGGTATCCATTGGCCAGAAGAGTGTCCATTAGCCACCTTCAGATCTTCAGTGGCTAATGGACACTCTTCTGGCCAATGGATACTGCCTTGTCACTGTACAACCTGCTTGGAGATTACTCATTCCCTGCTGATCCTGTGGATGTTTTGTCTCCAGGGTGATTTCTTCATGAACGCGGTGACAGGTACGGGGATGTACAGGTGGAAGGATGGCAGTACGTACGAGGGGGAGGTGTACGAGGGTCTGCGTCACGGCCAGGGAACCTTCAAGTGTTCCTCCAAACCCTGCTCATACTCAGGACAGTGGCACATGGGCAGGAGACACGGGCATGTGAGTGTTGAGGGCATAGCAACAAGGAAATTATGTTATGAGAATTGAACTGTTCTCCAACTCAATTTTGTATTTTACCAATCAGTTGAACTTTTCATATAAGTATAAGGAAATTAGACATAGAAGATTCTGCACCCCCTGATACAGCAACTGCACTGCACCCTCTTGCAGAATGCACAAAAAATGCAGTGCAGCCAAAATCGGAATGGATTGAACAAGTGCATACAGCAGATAACATATAGATGTACCTTTTCTAAATCCCCTGTCACCAACATTGGACTTTTTACTCCTTCCCAGGGAGTGATGTACTACAGTGAGGACGGTGCCTCGTTCTACGAGGGAGACTGGGTCCAGGGGATCAAGCAGGGCTGGGGCCGGCGCGTCTACAAGTCGGGGAACGTGTTCGAGGGGCAGTGGATGAACAACCTGCGGCATGGACAGGGAACCATGATCTGGCACTCACTCAACCAGAGATATGAGGGGACTTGGGAGAATGGAGTCATTGTGAGTTCTCTTGTACAATTCTACTATTCTTTCTTGGAAGCACAGTGCCCTGTTTGGGATTCAAACTATGTATTGAATCCCAAAACTATGTATTGAAACTGTATTTTTTAACAGTTCTGACAAATGTACATTATCATATGATACGTTGGAATAGTAAGAGTTTGGACAGTGTCACTAGTAAAATCTAAGTTACTGCTATTCTTGTTCCAAGGTAACACCTCATGATAGCAATAAACAAAACTTTCCATTGCAATCTTATACATATACTAGTCTAAGTAAGAAGACTTTGATAAAGCATAATACATTGAGATATTGTACATGTGTATATCTGAAAATGTGTGTGTCTGAAAATGTTGTCCTTTCCCAGCATGGTTTTGGGACCCATACCTGGTTCCTGAAGCGTGTTCCCGGCTCCCAGTATCCCATGCGGAATGAGTACACTGGGGAGTTTGTGAACGGGGTGAGACACGGGCGAGGGAAGTCCTGTTTGCTGGAGGAGCTGTGTACGATGGGGAGTGGGAGGATAACAAGAAATATGGATGGGTGAGTACAGTAACTATGGTCACAAGGCTCAGAATAGTCAAGTAAGAATGTACAATCATGTATAATGGAAACCAAATATAATACTAATTTTTATGTATAGTTTTGTTAACTATTGACAAAATCATTTGTTTGGTTCACCATTTTTCTTGTGACATGTTCATTCCTGAGGTCATCTGTGTTCACAGGGAGTCTTCACCTTTAAGAATGGCAGGATATTTGAGGGTCAGTTTGAGAATGACCACATGCTTGACCACCCGACGTTCAGTATGGATGGTACAACCACCCCTGACCTGTCCGGCATACGCACCAGGACCCCACCAGGCTACCAAGGTAAGACATTTGTGCGGAAAACTACAATGGAATATCATCATATGTCTAAGAGGTAGGTAATGTACATGTATATAGGCATACATGTACATGTGTAATGTTTGAGTTTCTCAAGTGGGGACTGCTGTACACATACTTTAGGAAACATTTGATAATGATACTGTATTATATTGGTGGGCCCAGTATACATGTAACTATGTTGATTCACCTTTTAAAGCTGACATTTGATAAGTGTTTGTACCTGGTTCCACAGAGGAGATGATGTCCGTTAAGAGTGCCGGTGCAGAGAGTAAGAACACCCTGGGCCCCAGCCTGGCGCTCAACATCAGACACCTGCTGGACGAGTTTCCCGAGGTGGACAGGGACGAGGAGCAAAATCAGGTATTACAAACTGGAGGCATGTGTGAGACTAAGAGCGGGGAAACAAGTTAGGGAGGGTGTGTGTAGTGTATATGTATATAATTAAGCTGTGGAAAAATACAGTGGAATGATAGAGACACTATTCAAGATAAAGGAATAGATAGAAAGTAAAGTTCAAAACTAACTTTGGGAACCAGTTTTAAGAAAATGAACCACAGATGAAAGGCAAGTACGGGAGTCGCAGTGGAAAGTTACAGAAAATGGTCAAACAAAACGATGTTGATTCAAACCTTGACATAGCAATACTAGAAGTTGAAGCTGGAAATCTAGAGTGAATAACATTAATCATTATTGTCTCAAGGGCCTAAATCCCCCAGCTTACAGGTATTTACCTTCAAGTACCAGGTTGAGAATCTAAGGTTTGGAGGGCTGCTATGGGCATAATATAACAGCTGTACATCCTCTGCCCCAGGTATTCTGTGTTGTCCTGCGCCACATCAGCCACCTGAAGCGGGTGTACACGTTCTACGCCAGCCTGGGCCAGGAGGAGGTGTCCGACCATGACAACACCTACATCATGTCCAAACTGCAGTTCTGGAGGCTCCTCAAGGACTGCAAGACTCACGACAAGGGCGTCACTCTGGCCGAGATGGATCGCATGATCGGTGCGTGGAGTAACATTAAAGAACCCAACACACTTATGTGGAAGAGTGTGGATGACCCAGTGTGCTTAGCTAATATTCTTGGGAACATTACTGATGGATTGCATGATTGGTGCGTGTAGTATTACATCAAAGAACCCAACACACATATGAGGAAGAGTATGGGTGCCCCAGTGTGCTAGGCTAATATTCTTGAGGACGTTACAAGCTCATGTGCCTTCTCTCCTGTCTCTCGAGGACCAATAACAATTGGGAAGGGGACAGAAAATTTCAAATTGAAAATGTTTCTGTTCAATATGTTATATAATATCATATCAACTGAGACCTGTTACAATCCACATACTTCTATTTGTTGATTTAACTCCACTGTATTATCCCTTGGTCTTAAGAACTCTTGTGTTGTTTGACTAGCTGACTCACCATACAAAAAGGGCAGTGATTTTGGAGCGAATCCTTTAAACTTCACCGTGCCTTGCAAAACTAACTGTTGTTGCACTGTGGTGTTGATTCTCAGGTCGAGGCAAGTCCCCAGAAGAGATCCACACACCGTATGAGCAGATGTTACTGAGGGAGTACCTGGACCACCTGGTCACCATCAGTTATCATCTGTACCAGGAGGAACTCACTGAGGATGAGTGAGTCATTTATAGCAACTGGTTTGAGCCATGAGAACATGTAGTAAATAGTTTTCTACTATCAACTGTTCAGTCCACAGTCTTACTGACTGCTTTTGACAAATCAGCGCCATTTTTAGTTCAGGTTCAAGAAATATGTGATGAGTAAATTGATAAATGAAGAACTTGTTGAAATGGGTGAATCACTACTGTTCAAAGTCAGGTTTAACCCAAGGTTACAGGTTTTAACCCAAGTGTACTTACTACCCCAGAATGGAGACAGGGAGGATCCTGGCCACCTGCTTCTCTAAACTCATCCAGAACAACATTTTACAATATGCTGGTTCTGTAGCAGGTGGGTCCTCTTTCCTTAACCTATCTGTCCTGTATTTACTTCTTCAACAAAAATAGCTCCTTAAATTTACACGTATTTAATTCTGCCCTAAGAGCACCACATTTAAGAAGAAAAAATGACCTTAAAGAGATCTTCTAGCACAATCAGTAATCCCTGATCTGTATCTGTATCAGTATAGCCGGAATAACTGCCCTTCGGCGTAACACACCAGCTTCTGATGTCTGCACACTTCAGATATCCAGGTGTGAACAGACATTCTTGAGAAGGCCTAGCTCCATTTTTAATGTGGTAGTCTTTGGGCAACTGGTGGAATTATGAAAGTAACGTTATCAGTAAGTTAATGAACTCGACAGGATAGAAATTAAGTGAAAAATGAAGAAAGAAGCAGTCTGTTTGGCACTTTTAAATTGCTGTTTGGTTGCCAGATAGTAGATATTGATTGGCACATGATTTCTTTCCATACAGGCAATTTCCTGTACGAGCCGAGGAGGGCCGTGAATGCTCTGGGTTACATGGAGAAGTGCTGGGAGATCTACAAGACTCAGTGTAAGCAGAGGAGACACCTGCCTCACGAACCCTCCATGAAGATGAGACAGTTCCTGTGGATGATGATGGTGAGAGAGACAGGAGGACGAAGATGACTTGGAGAGAACGATTTTGAAAATAGAAAAAGCTAAGTGTGGTTGTAAGGTGGATGGATGGATGAACTGAATGGTGAATATACTGGTGAAGAATGGGAAAGAATTTCCCCAGTAGTATTGATAGGGTGAATATGGGAAAGCTTCAGAAGGTATTTGTGTTAGAAGGGAAAATATGAATACAGTAGATTCCAAAAAAAACTAGAATGGCTTTACAAACTCTACAGCTGTAGATTTCCCATTGGTGTTAGTATACAGTGTACATAACCTCCAGCCTGACAGAATCTTCTCATCATTTTCCTCAGGACTACAAGTTGCTGAATGAGACCCTGACATCAGCGCAGGTGCTGCGTATCCTCTCCACAGACGACCCCAAAGTGTCAGATGGAGAAGACTGTAACCTGGAGCTGGAGGTATGTGGTGGAAGAGTGACGCACTACAGCAGAAAATTAGGGACACAATCCCTTGTATTAACACACTGTCTTGTATAGAACCTAACAAATGTATCTCAACAATTCTTCATTGATTGTAGGGATGGTAGCTATCTTTGCAGAATGTTACAATTGGGATGTTACCCATCTTTGTAGAATGTTACAATAGTCCATAGAGTAAATGTTAAAACTATTTCCAACATTATTTTGACAGCAAGCTTACTATTTGCATTGAAAGATGATTAGTCGCCTCCCCAATTTGACATCTACGTCTGATTCACCATGATTTCTGCTCAATGTGTTCTTGTGTTATTTCCAGATGACGTTTCTGGAGTTTTTTGAAGGCCTGATTGGCTGTGCCGTGAAGTATGTGACAGAAGACGTTCTGAAGAACCCGAGTCCGCAGGCGAGCGAGGCGGGGTCGCAGGGCGGGGACATGGACGAGTCCATCGCCAGCCCCGCCTCCGCCATGTTACACTCCAGGGCCAGCCAGGTCAGGACAGATTTTTGTTCTGTATTACAATAACTTAAAGTCATTATGAAATGAAGACTAAACAAACTTTCTTCGCAAGACTGGAATGAATTGGGACTTGCCCCAAATAATTTTCGGCTGACTCCTTCAACGCTGTTCACAGAATGGACCCGTCTACTCTTAGAACGTGACGTCAGAGACATGTGACCGTAGTAGTAGGTCATACGTGCCAGATAACTTGTCACCCCCCGTCTCTGTTCAGGGTATGTCTGCGAGCTCTGATAGAGATAAAATAATTGTACCCAAAAAAATTATGAGAGGAAGCAAGTGCATTGATCAAGTTTATGTGAGGATGTACAACTCTTTGCAAGAAGTACTGCTTAGTCTGATATCCTTTGAATTCTGCTTTTCTTCTGCAATCGTCTACTAAACTTGACCCTGTTTTTATTTACAGATGTCTGCTCGAGGCCGTGAGAATGAGTCCCCAGAGTCGGCCTCCCCAGACCTGGGTTCCCCCATGGCCAGGGCCTCCACTGTCGACATCAAGCACGACCAGTCTCGCAAGACACTGGATGTATGCCCACACTCTTGTTGTTTATTCTTTGTTTCTTTATTACGATGTTTCTTACAAAGAAACTTTTTGCTCTTGTTGAGAAGTTGACTCTGGACTCATTTTGAATACCTGTTTGAAGCCTGTGGACTTCGTATCAAGATGTAATTTCTTCTGGAAGCTTAAGATTTGTAGGATGATTTGACGAATTTGCTGATTTAAAAGAATATCACAGTCTTCCATGTTTTTAAGTATATAACTGCTATTACGATCTTCCAAGAAAAGTGAAATACATTTACTAGAGAACTGATCATGACCCCATGTTTGACCACAGACCCAGCCATCAGGAGTGATGAGCAGCTCCCACACAGACCTGAACCCCGTCAGCAGCGTGGTCACACAGAAGGTTACCTCAGGTCAGTCCGCAGGTCCCTCTGGTGGGACAGTTAATATCAGATCTACATATGTCATGTTGGTGTAATGTCTATATGCCATAAAACAGTCCTAGAGTGCATGTCAACTTTGTCCATGGCTGCTGATGCGACTCTGTAGGAGCAAAATAAGGTTAACATCATCATGATGTTAGAAATATGAAATAAAGACTACACTTTCCTTCCAACACTGGAATGAATTGAGTTGTACCAACACAGATGAACTTTCTTGCTAAATCATCATGATATCAAAACAATCTATCAAGCACAAAAAGTTTATAGCTCATTAAGGCAAGATGATTGCACAGCTTCTCAGCTAACATCCCACTGATGTCTGGTCTTTCAGAGCACAGTCCTGACCACCTGAAGAAGAGTTCATCTGTGACAGTTCCGCTGGAAGAGGACATGTCGGGGCTGGAGCAGCACAGGATCTCCATGGTCTCCATGGGACCCAGCGGGGAGACACTGGAGGAGGTGCCAGATGAAGGTAGCAGCCAATTACAGCTCTCCTCTCACTGTAGTCAACCAATCAGAACAGGAAATACAGATAACATCCAAAATACTGATTACTTGATGAAGGTAGCAGCCAATCACAGCTCTCCTGTCACTGTAGTCAACCAATCAGAACAGGGAATGAATGAATGAATGAATGAATGAATGACTGGTTTATTTGATCAACATCAACATGATTCTTAAAAAGTACATCGCAGCCAGTTAAAGTGGCTGAATTGCATACTTTTCACATTAATAGATAAGGCTATTTACAGATTGACATTTGGTACAAATATTAATATTTACAACATAACACAACATCGCATTCTGTCTAAATGCGGAGAAGTTACTGTTCGTTTAGTAGTTTTTTGTGTGCGGAATAGGACTGTTCTTGTATCTGTTTGATACAGATGATGAATGATTACAATCAACCAATCATCATCCTTCCTTTGTTTAAATCATCCAACCATGTTGTTGCTTACAGAAGAGCTGGAGGAGGATGAAGAAGTGATGGACGAGGCTGATCGACAGTTCAACTTCTGGACCAATCAGATCCACCTGTTCTTCATCCGTCGGCTGTTCCCTGCGTACGAGCACATGGAGATGCTGAAGGAGGAGACGGTACGGGACCGCATCCGGGCCGCGGAGGAGGCCAGGCTGGCCGCCATCAAGGCTGAGGAGGATGCCAGGGCCAGGTAGGTGTTTTATCAAGGGATACTGAAGTTGTGTAAGCTTGTTTCTCCAGTATACCAGGATTTACCATAAGGTAAAGCGGAATTAAGGTCACATGCAGGTCCAAAGCAAACTTACACCACTAAACCCTTATATCAACAACTATATGCTACCCTAACATCACATCCACAGACCATCCAGCACCAACGATATTTTTAAAAATTCTTACTGCAGTACCAAGATCAATCACCAGGGGCCTAAAGTCAACCAACACAATTCTCTATACCCCACCTACCCACCTGCCAAATATCATCGCATTCTGTCTATATCTACACCAAAACATCATCCAGACTGAGAACAGTACACATCACTTTCATGGAGTGTAACTAGTGAACTCACCCTGTTTGAGGACAACGCATCAAAATATATGGAATGTAAAAAACACTCTTTAATTCTGTGTTCTGCAGGGCCCAAGCAGCAGAAGAAGAAGCCTTGAGGAAAGCACAGGAGGAACTGGAGCGACCCAAGACGTCGGAGACTGACGTCACTGCTAAGGACGAGGATGAGGTCGCTACAACTGTCACCTCCAAACCTTCCAAGTCCCCACCAAAGGAAGACAGACCATCCAGAAAGAGCAGAAAATAATGTTGATATTGCCCACCTCTTGTACATATCAATTTTCATGTTTGAATAATGAGTGATTTACCTTGGTTGTGGTAGTGTACCACTTTATATACTGGTAATGTTCGATGTTTAACGGAATTGAAAAGTATTTTCACAAGTGAGTTTAGTTGACAATACCATATGGAAAATGTGTGAACTACACCTGTCCCATATATTGTACAGAATCATGCAATATGGTCCTGCATTTTGCAATGATGGATTGCCATACAGCAAAGACATATAGAATATTACTATGTACATGTATATAATATAGCCACTGCTGTACAGACTTTGATGGAGTTTATATGGGGTTGAAAAGGTGTAACCCCAGTGAAAAACCAAACATTGTATTAGGAGAATTCTTCAACAATAAACAAATATTTCAAACATTCAGTGGTATATTGTCATGATTGGAGTCAGATTTAATAAGAAAGGCTAAGGCACAAGTTTTCTCGTCTGACTATGAATTTGGTAGGTGGATACCGCTTCCACAACCACTGTAGGAAGATGCGGGAGCCACTGTTTGGTGAATTTATTTTCTGTCTTTATTCTGACGGCCGCTAGATGTCGCTGGGAAGAGTTGAAATTGGCCCAATAAAGAGATAACATGCCAGGGTGCGGCAAAATGTGTTCTAGCGGACCAACTTCCCTGGCATGTTATCTCTCTATTTGTGGCCAATTTCTACTCGTTCCAGCCGTCTCCCGAAGCCTGGTAGAGGCTACATCAGAAGAACCTGTGAGATTGGCGTGTGTTAGATAAAGTGGCGACAAGCCGATGGGCGGAGCGGGTTTCGAGTCATCGGATGATTTGTCACACCTCGTGCCCCATTCGTGGCACCTTTCTGTTAATCAACGGCGTCAGTCTGTGAGTTATCACAGTTCTGGGGTTTCAGGCGCCACCAAAGGCGTGTGCGTACATCAGTGTGAATCCCCTAGACTGTGACTCGGATGGTTGAGATAAGGCGGCAAAACCCTCAAGTCTTCAACTTGAGGGGTATACGGTATACCTGGCGGGAAAAATCAGTTGTATGGCTCCAAGGACGTTCTTGTAGAATGCCCTTGATGGCTCCAACTTCGTTTTGCACGTCGTTCAATGGTACATTGTATTTTATACGTCCCAGAGAAAGGGAAACGCGCGCCGCACCGGGAAAGACGAGCAAAAGTTGGAGCCAAGCATTAGCTTGGAAATAGACTACCAGCACGAATACGTCGCCACTTTAGCTTGTCGCTTTGGCAGCTTTTCAAGTAGACTTAGAAATAAATGTAGACATGTCATCAATTCCTGAAGGCGCTTTCACCGAATTGAGAAAATCATACCTCGATTACCTTCGTCAAGAAGTTAATGTTTTCGGTGCCTTTTATAGATGTGTTTGTTGGGCATATGTGTAGCTAACGTTACGGCCCAAAACGTATTTGTTTGTGGACAGCATAACTGGAGAAGTTGTGGATACGCTCGCGGTATAACTTTTTCAAAGCGGTAACTTCTTTAAAAGCCTTTTACCGTGTGTTGTTATAAAAATAGATCTTCTAATGACAGACCTTGACCTCTGGACTTGGCAATGTCATGGCCGTAACGCTGGCGAAGGTCCCAATCCGTCTGATGATAAGCTTTTCTTTTTTTGCCACAAAATAAATTAAGTTCAACCAGTCGATGATAACCGCCGGAAATGTCGCAGATATGATGTTTTCCCGGTTATCCGAATGATACACTTTTCCTGGTGACAAATACGCTACAGGCCACTGCCGTTAGCTCTGTTGCAGGCTACTTATTACTAGTACCTGTTGCTTTCTGATACATGTACCCTGTTCCTGGCTGTGAACTGTTAGGTACCGACGCAGGTGCAATCAGAACAGATATGCAATCAGAAACAGCGGCCAAGAAGCCTGCTATTGAGGCTAACTGCTGGAGGGTTTCAGAATCGTACGCGCGAATTAAATTGTCTTTTCTTTTCTTGTCTTTTCTTTTTGAAGAAAACATTGAACAGAACATCGTCAGCCAAAGATGACGACGAACATTACCTTCCACCTGTCCTGCTCACCTTACATGACCTGTTGTTGGACGCTTGGGCAAGTTCTTCTGTTTCTTGGAAACACAGGCGGCAAACTGTCGCTGGCGTTATTTGCCCGATGGATTATGCAAAGCTCGGACAAGCACGGCCTACCTGTCGATATGGGATGGTAGGAATTTAAATCGATAAAAGATGGACACTGTAACATTAAAACTCTGTACAAGTTTGCTTTACCCCCTTATTGACGCTGTAAAACCCAGCAACGCCATGCACCACACCAAACGACCTTTTTTATCGATCCTTCTTTGGTGAGGCCTGAGTCAAGTTAGCTAAATGTGTTAAAACATGACTCGGTATCAGTCGCTTCTCGTGTTATTCTTGTACTTGACAGACGTCTTCCCTTTTGTTTTACCAACAGGCCGTTATCTGTTATGGCTTGTGCGTAATTTATGGTGTCCGTGACCCCCCGGCCCCGTGCCGGCGCGCCCCCGGCCTGCCCGCCGCTCGGCTTGTCTGTGGACCGAACTTGACAAACCGCAGGACAGCGCCGCGCTGATTTGTGACCGTTCACAGGGAGATACAGGCTTGTTACTCTCCAAGCAGTGGTTGATGAGAGAAGATCGTTACTCGTACCTTTTTTATACATGGCCCTTTTTTGTCGCTACCCAAAAAAAACACAGGTAAAGATTATGGAACAGGTGAGATGTTCTCGATGATACCGTCCTCCCCGTCCTGCCCCGTAAAAAAACGGGGCATACATAAAAAGGTAACGATCTTTCCCCATCAACCTCTGCTTGGCAGAGTAGCAGATACAGGCTTGCGCTGGTGTGTATCAAATATGCAATGATTCTACTCGTAACTGTTGTTCCGAGAGTTGGCATCAATTTACAGCAGCGTTTGAAATGTAGTTCAGTCAACTATATCGTGACGTCATACTGTATTTGAAATTTCTAGTTTCACCCATGATATTCTCGATGATTCTCCTATCAAGTTGGTTAAAGGCAGGAAAATGTCACCATAATATTCTTCGGAAGATTTACAATTTGCCGAAACAACTTGAAGAATCCGTGAACAAACGTCCTTGATCTAATCATGGAGAAGAACATGGTCTGATCACGGTTAGCAAGTTTCAGTCCGATACCGTCTTAATAGGTATTGTGACTTGTCAATGAAAACGTTGTTTTGGTGCGATTTGTTCATGAGATGAGTTCACACCGTGCACCTTTGATTTCCTAGAAAGTCCTATCTAAAGTAAAGTACTGATAGAACTTAAAATACTCGAATTGTCAGGTGCTGTTCTGGAAAAGGGGCAGCGGAAGGACGGCATCACCGAGAAGGGTGGGCATCTCTAATCTCTGTTCTATAATCTTTCATGCGGCGCTGCTGTCTAAATGGCCAGAACTCCAACTGTCTTGTTCTTCCCATATTCTGGCCGTCGCATCCCATTTTACTGTAATCCCCTTTCGTGCTATTTTTATCTTAAACATCTCTAATAGAACAGTGGTAATGGCATGTTATGTTTTAGATTATCGCTATAAATTCTTTTGTACATGAATTGACCAGACATGCCTAACATAGCGTTAATATTCCGTTCACTGAGAAGTGTGTCAGACAACAAGACGAGACGAAAGGCAGAGTATTTACAACAGAAACAGCAGAAAGGAATGTATTTACGATCTGCGCGAGGCAAGTTTACACTGGAAATGGACGATGTGGAGTTGTGACGGACGCGGCTGAATAAGTTCGCCTAATTTATAGAGCTGATATCGGGGTCATGTATGTGCAACGTCTTTCACCTGTTTTCTACATGGTCCAATTGAGACTTGGCTAGCTCTCCGGGCTTGGTATATTAAAGGCATCCAACTTGCGATTTCAGAGCAGCAAAGCTTCACTTTAGTACATTTCAATCAGTATTTCATAATTTGGGTATTTAAAACTGCAGAAACAAGCCCCGAGATGAGTCCTTTATTTTATGGGCGGTACCCTAAAAATCAGCCAAGGGCCCTTCCAGTAACCATTTTCCGTCATATTTTTTGACAGACGGTAAAATAACCCTCGCAGTTTTCTTAGACAAGCTTCTACAAACGTTCCCTTTTCGATGCAGGCTAAGGTTGAGGGTATCTTTAGAGAAGGACTTAGATTCAAAGGGATGTGGGTGTTCTTAGATATCTCCAACAACCCTAATCGGGTATTACTGAGGGCTGTTAATCTCAAAGTAGATGCTGGGGTGGAAAACTGTAACGTTTTCAGACCGCCTGGCTGTTCTGGCGGCAGCCCGGGACAGAGAAGTGTTAGAAAGGCCAGTCTATCAGTAAAATTAACAATTGTCCAACAGGACAGCTGCTTGGAGATTAGGTGCGTCCTTGATGTGACTATTTGTCGAGTCCCAAGAAGTGGAGCAGTCTACAGGATCCTGAGGAGCTCACTGTGACGGCACTCTGACATGCGCAAAAACATGAAGTGTAGATGCTACGTCACACGATAACGTTTGAAATACTAGTATACGACACAAGTTTTTTTTTGAAATCTGAACATTGGGCACATTTTATTTCTTCAACAAGACGACAACATACCAGCAGCTACTGTTGACGTTGCTTACACACGCGTTGGAAATGGTCATTCTTCCAAAGTGTTTCTTAGAAATGGTGTTAAGCTGAGTTATAACACGAAAAAAAGTAATTTCTGACAAATGAAGGAAATTAAAAAAGACATAACTTACTGTGACAATTTTTCAGAGAGAGAATAACTTTAGGTTTTGTTTCACCTTTCTAGATCGGCACCACATTGGTAAGTATTTTCCATATTGGTTATGAACATGTTTTGATGTAGTATCGACCAAAAACTATTTACTGTTCCATTAACTCTATTCCATCTTTATTTCATTCCACAGGATCCACAGGCGGGCAAACTGAAGCATGTAAATATTTGTAACAAGATGATCAATAAAGATGGGGCATGCCTCCACCATATTATATTTGTTCTATTTTCTTCACAAACGTGATCTCGACTTTTAATATGTAACGGATAATGTAGGTTTTATGGTGTCTATTTACTTTTTGTAATGCATATCGCAAGTAGGGCCAGTTTCGGGCCAGGCCCTTTCCAAGTAAAATTTGAAACGAGACCAGCCGTCTTCACATGCACGACACTTTAGCAAAAGCAAGCGTCTAGCAAACCAACCTCTCCTGAAGTGAATTTTGACTTTTGTCCATGCACCAACATGAGATGACGAGGTTTTGATTGACAGTCCTTATCGGGGTCTGCATTGCTGACGGTGACAGGCAGACCGCAGAACATTTTATCAACCCCGGTGCAGGGCAGAGCCGGGGCAGGAAGATCGCGCCGAGCCCCGCGCCCGAGGCGAATCCGCGGCGCCAATTTCGGAAGCACCTTCGGGGAGCTCCTCCGAGGGGAAGCGGAGGGGAGTCCGTGGAAAAAAAAGTAGGGCGTTCAGAGTTTGAACGAACGGAAGGTCATGCAGAGGTGATTGGGTACCATTTATTACAAGTTGCTGAGCAAGCGAGGACCTACACGTCTTATGGTGTTTAATTTGTTTGATGAAGGAGCCCTAAAATCTGAAGAGTTTGCGTAGTTCAGATTGAGCGGCAGGGCACTGATAGCCTCCTTACGGACGAGACCACCTTTTGTCGGCGGGAGGGAGGGGGTGTTCTATTCCTTCTCTTCTTCTGATAAAAATGGCGACAAATTTGAAAAGACAATATTGCTTCCTGTAGATCTCATTTTTCCTATCACCAAATCACTTTTCTCTGTTACCAGCGATAGAAAATGTTCCTTTTGTAGATTCGTCGTTTGAACCCGAGATGGCACAGTCCCACTTGAGTTGTTACTGTCTTGAACCACTAAAAATAGGCAGTGAGATCACCCAGGGTCTGACTGCTAGCCAAAGGGCGCCTTAAGCTAATACGTCGTAAATGTCAGCAAATACGATATAACAAACTCGAATCATATAGATTAAGGTAAAATAGATCCTCTGACGTCGCTTCAGTATTGCTGTCTACGTGCAGCTGGTGGAAAAACATCGTCACATTCCACGACATGTACTTTAAACGTTCATCTGAACATGCAAACCTCTGTAGACTTTCTTTCCTATTGGCATCTGCAATCTCTGTCTTGATATGTTATGCGTACCAACAATGACAAGAAAAAGTTGTCAATAGAGATTGAAACTTTAATAAGAAATATAAAACCTTACAACCATGTACAGTAGCCGTCGCAATGTTCATTTATACATCTCCTGGTCGTGCCAGGACTTTCACAATTTTTTACTTATTAACAGTACAACATGAGTATACATAAGGCATTATTTACAGCGATCATAAAATGCGTAATCAAATATTCACAATCTAAATCTAAACCATCATCATTTTTCACCAATCGGTCGATCATTCATTAATTCTCCGTTATTCAAAGATGTACATCCAGCTTTAGATCAAGGTAAATATATATAACTAACATTTCCATAGTACGACATCTTAATCAACGTATGTGTATAAGCATGAAGTGCCGGTGTTTGTTGAACAGCTCTTTGTGTTAAAAAAACTGTATCAGGGATACTGGCCAATACAACATCTTTCCTTTTTGCGCTCCCGATACTTAACTGTTCCACTGTGTTCATGGGGCCATTGGACACAGCTTAACATCGCATCACTTTATTTTATTAGCGGTCATCTAGATAAGAGATTTGCACATGCTAAAGTACGTTGCCCCGCAGGTCACTTGCTGCCCCCTTCCCTCCACCAATCACATTTGGTCGTACTTTGGTCTCCTACGAACTTTGCACTGCGTGTAGCAAAGGGTGTTTTCCCAAAGCGAATGGCTTTTTACCGTCAGTTCTTAGTAAATACGAGAACATTTGCTACATCTGTACACTTCTTGCAACAATGAAACGGTCATAAGAGTAATGCTACAGGGCCTTAACTTGTGAATGTTGAAATTTCATCACCTCCATGAAGGATACATAGCTTCATAATATCAGTAAATGTAACTTTCGTTGTTTTAGGTCAGAAACCATGAAGTATGCAAACATGTGCGCCTACCGAAAACGTGACTAGGTCCTCATGCGGACTTCACTTACTGTGCTCACGTGACACGACGTCACCTGTCCCTTTAATCAATGGTTGTGGTTGTGTGTAAGTACAGAAGACAAAACAATCCAATTTTAGAAAGACTTACATTTGTCCTCGCGTGTTTTAAAATTCAGATTAAATTTTTGGAGTACTAGAAAAGTAAATGCAACTTCATATCGCGTCCGCGGGAGGGAGTGGTATTTTCTATATACATGTACTAGTACGTTTTCTTTACTGCAACATGTAACCTGCGTGTAGCAAGTATATCAGAATAACAAAAGATGGGGCCGTTTGCCCAAACGACTCAAGGCAAGAGTAGGATATCTAAAGTCATATATCGGAACTGTGTACACGTAAAACTGGTATTTATGTGACCTACTTATTACATTGACATGGAAAGTACTCCAGGTCTATCATGTTGCTGTACACATGGAGTTACTATAGTAAATGGCGTTTGCGTCGGCCAGGACAGACGTGAGCGAGCCGTCCTCCCCCTGACCGCCACAGCCCCACGGCACGACGTTTCCCCCCAGAGAGGCGCTACCGAAGTTCTGTGTGTTTGCCACACCCTGGTAATATCCCATGTGGTTCTTGTAGCTACTAGTGGTCTCCTGAAAGTCGTTTAGTCCATAACCCTGCGACATGCTGAAGTTCGGATTGTTCGACAAGCCGAAGTGCTGCTCCGGGGTTATGCTGAAGGCGTTCAAGGCGTTCTCGTTGTTCAAGTAACTGTTCAAGTACTGGTCGAACTCGGCGCGATCTACTTCGTCTAACAGCTCTTCCTGAGATAGACACGACAAGTCTGTGTTGGGGACGTCAGCGTGGGCCATCTGACCGGCCGAGGGGTGGTACGTCTCGGGGGAAGGCGCGTGGTGCAGGACAGAGCCGTTCTGCTGCTGGTAGCTCCCGGTCGACGCCGTCGTCATCAAAGAGGCCGTGGTCTGGTACTTGATCGAGTGCATCGCGGCGTTGACTCCCGTCGTCGTTGCCCGTGACGACATTCCGCTCGCCGACGTCGACCGAGTCAAGTTCTCAGCAGCTGGGTATGCAGAAGAGTTGTTTGCCGTGGCAGGAATGTTGGATGGGTACTGAAAGGTGGTATTGTCCGAGTTCGTGAAGTCGCCGCTGTTGTTATACCACATAGACACGGGGTACGGGCTGCTGACCAGCGCGTGAAGCTCACTACGGTACTGGGGTGGCGGTTTGGCAGCGGACTGTGTGACGACACCTGACGACATGGAGATGGAGGACGCTACCGTGGATGTGGCGGGGAAGTCTCCGGTGGAGGAGCTGCGCGCGCGCGTTGGGGTCGGACACCTGGCGTTGGCGGCTGTCTGCTCTGCATGCGCAACAGACAGGCTGCGTTGAACTTTGGCAGGCTTTGGTAGCGTCAGGGTGGTGGGCGGCAGGGTCCCGCTGGTGGACGGACGGTCTGCAGGTCTGACGGTCGCCTCCCTGCCCACACGGCCCATGTCCCACTTGAAGTCCGGCGGGAAGAACACGTCGTCGTCCCGAGCGTCTAGAGGAGACATCTCCGGGGTCGGCAGCCCGCCAGGAAGGCAGTCGTTGGACAGGAGCCTCTTATCTGCAAGAAATACATGGTGGTAAATAAAATGATTCGTTGCAGCAAACTTTTTTGCAGAAAGAAAAGCACAAAGAATAGGGCCAATCCACGAATAAACTACTTAAGTGTAAATTAGACCGCTAGCAGAATAAGGTATGATATTTCTCTCATTATCATTTCGGACCAGACCACTGAGCAGTCACATCAGATGACTTTCGAGGACTGTCGCGTCTTTAAGTTTCCTTTTTCATTGTCATCATGATTGGTTTACGCGTTTTTTACTTTTTACTGTATACTACTGATAGGTCTGACGTGAAATGCTCATCAATACGCACCAGCTGGAAATCGTGAGGTGTTGGAGGTGAGCTTGGCCAGGTTCTGGAGAGGTGAGACGGACTCCACGCAGGGCGGCGAGTCGGCGCAGGCACCGGGCTCGGACTTGACGCTCACCGCGTCAGGCGTGGGGCTGCTGGTGGGAGTGGAGTCTGGGGTCCCCAGGCTACCTGTTCAGGACAGACAAGTATACGTTTTAGGATGGGTCCGAAAGTCTTCCCATCAACCATTTAGGCGGAAAACACGCCTAAAGGCACTTTTATTGAAGAATGAAGACCTTTATTGTACATCTTTGCCCCACTGGGCTAAGCACAGGTCACAGGATTACAATCATATACATATACAAATACATATACATATAACTGTTACATGTATATATACTCTTTTCGACTTCCACTTGCTTCTTCGTAATTGTATAAATGTATGAGGCTGTATGAGAAGTTAGATTTGGTTTATCAAAGGCTAAAAGGAACATAATTTTTTCTTTATTTGGTTGGATACATCTCACACGCAATTCTCGAACCTTCTATGCTCAGCTGTTGCAGAGGCGCGCAAAAAGGCTTTAATTTTCCTGAATGACTGAAATGTCGGACTGGTTAAAGTTTTTCTATCACAGACTTCACGTATGAACTTACTCTGGGTCGTCGGTCCGCTGGTCGATGAGGATGACGATGGGGGTGGAGACAGCCCGAACTTGTGCGCAAGCCCAGACAGCGTCAGTCCCGTATCCACTCTCTTGCACACACGCTTGGCCTGTTTTCGCCTGCGCGGCCGGTACTTGTAGTCGGGATGGTCCTGCGGGTGTCAGTCAAAAATCCAACAGTCAGCGGGGGTAAATCATCTCAACACCGTAAACCAGCCATGGTGGGCTTCTGTGGCGCCGTTATGTACAGGAAACCGATCAAATTTACAACGTAGGAACCAACTTGTCTGCTTCCGCAACAGTTTTATGGATTTCAACTGACACGGTTAAACACTGTACTGTGACCTCTTCAGACATGTTAAGACGTTATGTCGACACGTACATGCAGCGGAAGGGTACAACATAGCTTGTCCGTGATTCGCCGCAACAGCAAAAGTCAAAATCTATATATTTGGGTAACAGGAATTGCGGACAGGTATGAAACTGGTTGATCGATTGAATGAACGAACGAGTGTGTGAAAGTAACGCCTACCTGCATGTGCTGAACTCTGATCCTTTCTGCCTCTTCAACGTATGGCTGCTTCTGTGACGTCGTCAGACTGCGCCAAGTTTTACCTACAGAAAACAATAAAAAATGCACATGGTCAGCGATACACTCCTCCGTCGTCTGTCTTCTTTTTTGAATTCTTTCTTTCTGCTTCTTGTTTCCCATTTATTTTTTTATTTCACTTTTTTTATCCCTGTCTTTGTATCAAATCTCAGACTTGGTCAGGAAGTTGAGATAACATGTCAGTCAGCCGTTTCCTGTTATGATCCGAACTTCGTATCAATTTGTGTAACTTTGCCGACGTATTTGTTTATTTTCCACCTGAGCGCTGTGACTTATTTGTTATATTTGATTACAGAGCGTGTTTGCTTATTCCTGATCAATATAGATGACTCTGTCGTCGCCTGTCCAGGGCACACTGCAAACAAATGGCGCCGAGCCAAGGGTGACGCAAGGTGGATATTTCTGCGCTGGTGGGAAGAATCTAATGCCTAATATATATGCCTAATATATTTCTGCAGTTTTACACAAGGGGGAGGGCAAGGGGCTGGGTTCTTAACGTAATTAAGTTTCCCACGCAGATGTTATCTCCCTTGATAGTAGCGACGGCCCCCTAGTCTCGTCGCACAGAGACCAGACCAGCTCGATAGATTAAAAAAAGGACAAACCAAAATAAAACAGGGGTGGCATGCAGGGACGCTGTTGTTCATCTAGCCAAAGTCATCGTGAGTGATAAACCCACCCAAAGCACACACATATAAATAGAGAAATATTCAACTTGAGCGTTTGACCGAGTCATTTCTGAGTGGTTCTAAATCCGTAACAGTTTGTGTCGTTTTTTTCCCTCCCGCCATGATAGACCGTGGAACGAGATTACGCCAAGGATGATTGATTTCATGACCACCTCTGCCGGGGTGTAATGGGTAAACAAAAGGCGGAGTCAACCGGGATTAATTAACGATAATGCCCGGGAGATTAACCTTGTGTTGCTCCAATCCGTATAAATGAGAATTAATTCAAAAGAACGGGGATAAATTTACATGTAGGGTGGTGGTGGTGGGGGATGAGGCTCTTCCGTATTCCTGGAAAGATATAGGTTTTCATGCTATCGGCTTTCACACATTTTCATACGGACCAGAATAATCATGGAATCACCAGTGAGGTAGCGACACAGTTCTTATAAAATGGCGTAATAAAAATTATGGATTTCAATCCTGAGACACATACGACACAAACTCTCTGAAACCGGGACGACTCAAGAAGAGTACCATGGATGCAGAACTTTACGCTTCAGGAACGTTGAACTTATGGTGACTTTTTGCGTGCTTATCATTTGTCCATCTTCGTATGCAAACTAGAATCGGCGTGACCTCGCCAGAAACTTGACCGACAGCCGACCCCTGGGACAGAGAACATGCATGGGGTTGGGGACAAATATTTTGCAACGTAGGAACAGCAGACAAAAGGTAACCAAAGATAACAGTAGACGTACATTTATTGCATAAAACGTACATCATTTTGAGATGTTGGACTTGGTGATGCGTGATTATTATTTTCCCTAAACAAAGTTCAAAAAGTTCTAGAACCCTTTAATAACCTCATAAAGCTGCTCATCATCTGGTATCAGGTGGACCCTGTTATCTTGTAACCCCTTAGTGACCCCTTCCTACACGACCTGACAAGTTTACATACAAAGTTCAGGTCCCGGTCCTCGCGTGCGCACGATGACACAACCTGCCTTTGATTCCAACCCACCTCTCCGCTGTATTTTGACGACATGACCTTGACAAAACGTGGTCCTTTCGACTTTTACCGATAAAATCCCTTATTGGGAGTCACGATTCTGCTTGGTAAGGTGTGAGCAAGCCATAGATCAACCTCAGCCTAAATCATGGCTATACGTTTGGTATAACCTCCTTGGTATGGCGATAGCCACTTTCATGCCACAATTATAACAAGTTAGATAAATCTGACGTTCTGATCATGACCGACCCGGCATCTTGAAAACACTGGACTTACCCTGGCGTCCTTGTTGTCAAACAAGAGAAAAACAACATGTTAGCGGCTTGTTTCAATGTTTGGCGTGTTTAGTAAGATTGACTTCCTGGCAGTCGGCCAGATATGTGCGTGCCATCATGCTGGTAAAAAAACAGAATCTTGGCACGAGCAGTTTTGTAGGTCAAAATAAACCAAACTGTCCATTTCTCTTCAGTTCCTTTCGCATGAGCTGATTTGTATAAAGGAATCAACTAGTGCTATGATGTGGTATTAAAACGTTAGTGTACGAAATGGCCTGTGATACTAGTATTTTCTCCGAGAATCGTGTAACGTTAGTAACACCAGCAGGTGCATGCTGCCAACCAGCACCTTGCCGTCCCCCATCACCAACAACCATTCCCGTGACCTTGGTATGGACCCAAGGACAACTGGCATTCGGTGTGCTAACGAGTCAAAGGCCAACTGTGCTTATTTTAAGCCCACAGAGTACTCCATTACTCCATCCCTTCCGCGATTACCAGATTGTACTACAGAGGAAAACATTTTAGATTAAAATGAGACAAGAATAAGCAAATAAAGAGATCCTCGTGTTTTCCCTTTTGCCAACACGTATCGAGAAATCTATGATTACATGATTAGAAATGCAGCAAAACAACTTCATTAAACACTTGAAAGTTCCACAGGTTTATGACCTCCTTCCCACAGTACAGTGGGTAGGCTGAAGAACCAAGGCTTGATTAGACTCTATAGAGCCCGTGTTCTACACAGAAAATTTAATGGCTTGTTGGCTATGTAAAGACGCGTTCGCAAATCAAGTTTGCACAAAGTTGATCACAAAGGTACACACTGGGGTCATGCACTCTTGAATTCGTAACGTAATCAACCATTCTGTGGAAACATGAACTAAAACACATGAAACCCTAAGATATACTTGTAAAATTGACCACACCATGTTTCATGGTAACTGTCTTCCGGCATTTATCGACGAACTGTGAAAATGGTGACCTTTGGAAACGCATATATTTATCGAGATACTTTTTTGTAGATTCAAGATTGATGTATGATCAGTGGTAAATCATACGTTAGACGTCTATCTTGCTAGACAACGCAGACAAATTTTGTCTACCTCAGGCAAGGAACACATATATCTGCGGGACACGAAGGCGTGCAAGTGGGGTTGATGAGGGGGATTAATTTTATCTTAGGCTTTCAGCTCAACAGGTTGTTACGGAATAGACTGTGCAAAGTTTACTCACCAAACCTGTCGGCAAATCGTCCAAACTTTACAGGGGGAATGACCCTCGGCTGACCCCTGATTTAGATATCTGCCCGCACGGGCCTACACCTTTACGATACTATCATCTTAATTACTGACCCGTGACAGGCTTGGCGGGTTGAATGTATCCATCGCAATAAATGGCTTCCCGCGGTGCAAAATACCAGCGGGACGCAGGCGTACATGCAATAACATGCGTATGGCAATAGATACTTCTGCACAAATTCTACTTTAACAGCATTATTGAACAGATACTGTGTTAGGTCAGAGTAAGACACATGGTACAGCCTCCTTTCGTACATGCCACATAAATCCTGAAAAAATCTCTTCCGGTTGTAAGTACGCGATAGTACAGGCATGTCCTACCTACTTAGGTCTAACATAAAGTTGCACAGCGGTTTGTTGAAAAGTCAGCGGCTCGCAGGAAGTTGGAGACTTACCAAGGATCTTGCTGAGTTCGGCGTTGTGGAGGTCAGGCTTTTCGTGGGCCAATCGCTTCCTCTCGGTGCGGGCCCACACCATGAAGGCGTTCATCGGGCGGCGGATCCGCTGCTCCCGCCGGGTGCGCCCCGAGGCCCCGTCCGACTTCGTCTTCTCCAGCCACTTGTAGGGCTGGCTGTCCTGCTGCGGGTCGGGTATCCTCCGCAGCGCGTTCGACATCACTCCGATGGTCGGGTTCATCTTCGCAGTGTCCTGGTTATGTCCCCACGCTTGCAAAACTTGCGTGATTTTTTTGCCCAGCAGTTTTTGAGTTCAAGTACTACCAACCAAACAACACGCACTACTCGGCAGTGATTTCTGCGGACTACGCGGTTTTGGACCAGCTGATCCTAAATACTTATTACGTAATCACCCCACTCTTATCTCACTTCCAGCCAATCACAGCCCGGCGCGCGTCTCGTGGCCCCGCCCACAGGGAATTAAACGTCCCCAAGCTGTCAATCATGCGGGGTTTCCTGCCACGAGGGCACGTGACCATGAATTTCGGATTATTTTCTCCACAGTTTTATTTTTGTCCTCTCCTGTTTCAAAACATGTCAAAACGGAGCTGTTTTGAGGCCCTAAAGGTGACTCGAGCTTTCAACAACGGGTAACAGGTTACTCTTGATGGTTAACAACCAGCTAAGGTCTCCACCGCTGACTATTTCTATCTTTTTTTCCCGGGGCGTAGGCACGCAACTCTGAAAACAAACTGATGAGAAAACAAACATCACGAAACATTCCTTTGTATCTGTTGATTAATTCTGACATAACAGATATTGTGCGGCCAATCAAGTTGATTGCAAAATAGATTGCAAATGATTGACAAAAATACCGCTAATAACCCGGTTTTCAGCTCAGGTATGGAATACAGGAGACTTCCAAGGAACCATAACCCATGGCCCAGTAAAAATGAAACTTCTTAATCACTCAGTTTCACCCTTAGTTTCATAACGGAAGTTAGATTCGCGCCATGCACCGGATTGAGAAAAATAATTGAACATTGGAATGTAGTCTTGCATATAAAATGGTTTACTCCACTCCTGTCGATCTTTCCTCATTACCATTGCGCACCAGTCATGCCAGTGTATTGAATAAAATTACTATTTAAGTTCTAACACATATTGGCTTGCATAAAGATTGTCTTCATTGCCATTGGGCACCAGTTGTGAGCTGTCCGATCGATCAACACAGCCGCCCCCGGGCGGAGGATGGACTACTGTCTCCCGACCAACATACTGGCACAGAAACGGCCAGGAACTTGATGAAGTGGAGGTTAACAAGAACATGTGTGATCTAACTTAGCGTATCATTTTAGATAAGACTCAGAGATCAGTTCATGTGGAACCTGTAGGGTTAGCTGCACACCCCGCTGCGACGCAGTCTCCGGGGACAGGTATGGGACACTGATGAGAACAGATTCAGCCCATGAAAATAAAATCGTTTAAAACTGTGGGCAACTTTGGGACAGAGTCTGTAGGCCTCGTATGTTGTTTGTTTGTGTTTTTATTGATTTTGGGACGTTGTCGATCAGGGCTTAGATCCATACATCGATAAAAAAACAAGACATGCCCGGCGTGTACACATAACATCTCATCTGGGACCATAACAGGGCGAACTCTAACATCAACATGGCAAGATTGGTCACAAATCGGGTATTACGATAATTCTATCAAGTGTACGTCTTCCAATCTTCAGACGTAGTATCATTATAATGTGTAATATGGTCCTAATTGCAAAATGACTTACTTGTCATAAAAAAGTTAGCTTGGGCTACTAATCATGTTGATTCATGCAATTGAGATATAGATACTATAAGTTTTTACATGTAATATGTAAACATGCCAGCCGCACGTATTTTACAGCCTTCGTATGAACCAATTCGTTTTGTCGAAAAAAATTACTTCAAATGTGTTTATGATCAGACAGTTCACTGCAGTCAGACCACATTGCAAATAAATGTTGTACACATGTACAAATAGTCAACTATCGACATAACAAGGTCAGAGTCAAGGTTGAACCTTAAAGGCCAGACTACGTTGCAAGAGCTCGTGCGTTTGCCACGTGAGCATATTGTCTGTTCATGTTATCTCAACTATCCGTGTTCGAATTCGTCTTTTTCTAACTTCTCTTGATAACATTTTGTAAGGAAGTATTAGAAATTATCCGTGTTTAAAATTCCGCTTACTTGCAACAGTGTCATCAGAAAGTACATGGACTAGTCAGCTGACAGCTGCATCGGACATGTTGTCATCATAACCTTGACTAGAAAGTGACGAATGATTGAAGGAATACTACATTACATGCAACTTCCTTTGGCATTGGATGGAATAGACTATATTTGGCAATGTCGTATGCTGTACCATTCAAACTTTAGTACACGATTTTAGCACTTCTCAAATCAAGCCCACCTATGTCCTGTGGTTTCCAGCAAATACTAGTACAATGTATTGTGACTCCGTATCTAGTGCTGTGTGTCATTCTTGCTCGAGAGGAAACTTTTTATTGATTTCTAATCTCCAAGCAGATACTTTACCACAGGAAAGACGTAGCCTCTACCAGGTTTCTCGGGCGGCTAAAAGAGTAGAAATTGACCAAATAGAGAGAGGAGGGGAGTTGCATTACGGTCCGCTAGAGAGTACATTTTTGGGTGCCAAGTGCCCGTACAAAAACACGCATGAAACACTGAACCTGCCCCTGCATCTGCTTGGAGATTGGGGATTACAGTTGGAGGGGCAGGTGAACTCGTACTCGTATTAGGGAGGCGTCACCGGGCTCGTAGGTCCGGACAGGTCTGGCGGCTTTACCTGCGGGGGTACAACCACTCGGTCCCGCAGAACAAACAACATGAACACGCACTCCGCAGGACACCGGGATAACACAACAAGGCATTTACATTCATGCCCACTGGACCACCGTAACAGTGCTGAATTACGGATATGTTACGTGAGTTGTGATAGAATTTCAGGTGGTCCACATTTCGACTGAATTCTAGAGGTGAAAGATGCATGTGTGTTTATAGACGATTAAAAAGTAGTTGTCATAGCGACGGACTACTTAAGAATTTGTATGATATCAGTTGTCTAAATTGTCAAACAAACCAAAGGTTATGTTTACAGATTCATAAATATCATAGTGACCTCTGAAGCAGAGTCCTGATATATGGTCTCCGTCAGTCAATATATTGATTTTGATCAAATCGACTAATTTGCATCGGCCCTACAGTCCTGATACTAGTACTCGCGCTTCAGTAAGAGCGAGTAGGATGCGATGGGGTGATCTTAACATCGTTTGGACAGTTTTTCATTATTTCGTGAGAAGAAAGAAACCATTAATTGCAGAAACGGGAAAGCATCTACGAACTATCTGTGGAAATTAGGTGCTATGGCTATAGCAAAACCAGACAGGATAGACTTAACTAAGCCAAGGACATACGCATAATCTTGTACGTCTATAATTAGGGCATTGAAAACCAGACACCGTAAGCTACTAAGTCGACCGCAGAACCTTTTTGAGAGCGTTGACTGCATCCACTTACATGCTCCTTCCGTAGTAAGCAGCTTACGCCTTGTTCCGCCATTCCATTACCTCATTACTTTGTGTTTACAAGGATCTAGGCAAACAATACAAGAAGATTTCGTATGTAGCAACACAAAGGCTTTGTAGGGTAGCCGAGGCTAGCGGGGTGAGCCGAGCTGTCAGAGAACTGCACAAGACGAGATCTCACTCTAGACTGACTCCTGCCACATGGCCGGAGGTACTTTATTCCTGTTAATCAAGACCATATGTCTTGACCGCCCGTGCGGTCCCATATCTACTCCTAACATTGGCCCCCCCTTACAAAAGGAGTCGTCCCCGACTCCGCAGCAGGAAACAAAACAATAATAACAACAAGAGTAGACGGGGCATATCATGCTGGGAGCTAGTGTGTTGGGTTCGAGCTAATTACTTCCGGACGGAGATACAGTGAGTAAGCACGGATCAAAACAACGCTATCTAAAAAAACAACAAAACTGGTACATAAACAAATGTAAACAAATCATACTGCGTCGAAACGAGGGCACAAAAAGTCGCTAGCGGACATGCGAAGCGAATACATAGTAATACATATAGAAAAACAAGAATACGCAATATAAGAACGACGCTCAACATAATAGAGGTATGATAAAGATGATAGAGTTCGTATGAGAGGAGTGTTCATTCAGGCATAGGTTTCAGTAGTAGCCAATTAACGGAGCTCATTTATAGAGTTCATTAGCCGTAATCGAAGTCCATAAACCGGTCAGGGGGTCGACTGATGCGGCCGGATCGAGTTCTGATGATGTGCGGACGCTGAGCTGGCTGGACAGGAGCGGCTGGCGGCGGGGCAGGTGGAGGTGGAGGTGCTGGCTGGGCAGGTACTGGCTGGGCAGGTACTGGAACAGGCGCTGGCTGGGCAGGTACTGGAACAGGTGCTGGCTGGGCAGGTACTGGAACAGGTGCTGGCTGGGCAGGTACTGGAACAGGTGCTGGCTGGGCAGGTACTGCAACAGGTGCTGGCTGGGCATCGGCCCACACATCGAACTGCTGAATCCAAAGCTGGAAATCGTCGGCCGCGGTGCCGTCGAATGAGGGGGGAAGCCGGGAACGTGGCTCAGCCATGGCGTGGGTCGTAGGTACTCGTAAGTTAAGTTGGAACCGCTGCCACCAAATGTAGGGTAGCCGAGGCTAGCGGGGTGAGCCGAGCTGTCAGAGAACTGCACAAGACGAGATCTCACTCTAGACTGACTCCTGCCACATGGCCGGAGGTACTTTATTCCTGTTAATCAAGACCATATGTCTTGACCGCCCGTGCGGTCCCATATCTACTCCTAACAGCTTTACGTGTATCTCGTGTATCTGCAGTTGCACGTGGTCAACTAGTGATGTTACTTTCGAGCACACCTTTGTATGACAGATAATCGCTCAGTCTGCTTTCCTATTGAGGTACGATTGAAAGAGCTATACCTCTCTGAAAGTCTTTCTGAAGATTCACCTGTCCTCAGCCGGGATACGCAATGGCCACGAGTCGCAAGTCCCTCCAATTTATCATCACGAGTCCTGGGCAAAATAATGATGATGTAACGTTACGTCTCCTTTTCTTTGTTGTGATTTATTTCATTTGATGAAAACTGTCCGACAGTTTGCTACCTTAAAATAAAACATCAATAGAACGAGGGCTGACAGACTTTAGTTCTCCATGTAAATTCATAAGGTTTGAGGGAAAACAAGTGGCGTCATGTAGGCGAATCAGCACAGATAGGATCTTGTCATGGCTAAAAAAATCCTATTATCACCGTAAAACGAGGTGCTGTCCAGTGGCTTAAGTGATCACCAGTGAAGAGTCATGCCGAAAGCTAGAAAATTCTCAAGCCGCGTAGTCCAGACAGTGTCGGTACAGACAGGACTTGAGTTTGGTCCAGTGGTGTTAGAAATTGTCCTAGCGTCTTTGATATAGAAATATTGCAACAGGTCAACCTGTTGCGTGACTCGTTGCAACTTATCGACGGGATCTAAAGTCGTGTAAGAACTAGTGTTCCATTTCAACTTTCCGGTGCATGCTGAGTATTTGAAGTTCGGGTTATGTCGGGTTGGCTCCTATCCTTGCACTCTCGGCTCCATCGTTGTATGGCCGAGGAGGCGGGGCGTCCGGAGACATACCTGTCGCCAGGCGTGAACTCAAAGTGTGAAGATCTCCATCAGTAGCAGTGACACGCCAGACCGACCCCTACCAATCCCTGGCTCCAGCGCGCAGGATAATCTACCTCGTAGGTCTTCCCCGTCCCACAGTCATTAGTTCTCTAGTGTGAGAAAAAGAGAAAGAAAAGAAACTTGATGAGGTGATTTACAGAGGGAAGTGTTTTTTATGAAGTCCCGTCAACCGGAGACCTCCAGATCACATATACATGTACATGTATTTTGTATTTGTATATACATGTACTATTGCACCAAGTATTCCTGCTGGGCGTCGCAGTGGTTTGATTCATCCCCACAGACGTTGTGAAGGAAGATTGTCCCGTTTAATTTGTCAGAGTGATCATTCAAAGGATAATCAGGCGATAAAATGCCACATCATTCCTTCAAAGCATCTCGGCGACTACAACCATTTTATCACACTCACTATCATGAGACTAGCATTTAGTACCCCAGGTTGCTTACTAGCCATAAGTTTTTCCGGATAAAATCAACTCCTCTATCGATAAAATCTAATTCTTCCCCACGTTTTGATTCGTGACCTGCATGGCAAACCTTGAACGCAGTGAGCAAGTATGGAAGATTGTGTTACTGTTTCGAACTCTCTCCTTCAGTGTCAGTCTAGTGGCTTACGGATAAGAGCCCTCGACTCTGTCCGGCGCCTGACTGTTTGGTTTTCATGACTTTCTTAGAAAATTAGAGCCAATCCTAAAATCACCGTGAAACGAGGCGTTAATCGTCCTAATTTTCCCATCAAAACTTGGTGTTTTCTCCCAGCCGAATCTACAAAGCCCCCCTGCGTGCTTACTTTGCGTTACAGCTCAGTCAACAGGTTGATCCGCTCGATAGAGATCTTGTTTTGTGTTGTACTAACCACATCGACAATTTGTCTCTGTCGTGTTAATAATCTCTGGAATTTTTCCCAACTGTCGCCGACAAATGATGTGTACATCGAACGTCCAACGCAAACAAGTTTGTCAAAAGATTTGTCAGCAGTTTGTTTCCTTTCTCCCATCAAAATACGCCATTGAAAACATTTTACGATGGTGGTGAAACAATGAAAACGTGAAAGCAGATATATGTAGTGACTCATCATTGGCAATGCACCGTACATTTAGAGATGTAGTTATATATATAATTTCTGTACCGTTGGTACAGTATGGCCTCGAATGGCCATAAGTTCTTGTCAGTTAGATGTGTCTGATTCAGCCCCGAGTCCCGTCCGAAATCGTGACCCATACATACCAGGGACATCATAGCAACGCCTAATTCACATCATGTCATACGCCGTTTACGTTCTTATCCCTGTAGTAATACTAGTAGTTTCTTAGAATAGACGTGTTTGTATGGATCACACTGTCATTGATGCAATACATTGTACCATGTACAACTGTCGAGCAATAAAGTTTATTCATTCATTCATTCATTCATACTTAGCCTGGTTACCATCCGGATTTTAGCTCCACGTCTGGGACGGCTGGCATTCAAACTGTCTGGTCTATTCGGTACCCAGACTACATCATACTACAGTTGTATCTACAACTTTGAATTTGTCCTGACTGTGCACCAATGAGTCTCACCTAAATCTGTGTTGGGGCCGTTATCTTTGCCAGATATAACCGCAGGTAACTCAAAATCGCCTCGCTTGCTGCAATTTGCACTACTACCGTTAGGTGGCAATTTTGACAAGGTGAGACTGATTATACCTAGGATCTCGTCATTGCTCGTCAGATCCTTTTACTACAATCAGACGAAGGACAACACACCATCAATCCAGTGCACTATCACGGGGTTCTGTGGCACACGCACCCTTCCTTTTTCTTAATTTCTTCTTTTCCTTTCTTTGCAAGTAATAGCAAGTCAACGGAAAGAACTAAGTAGTGAGTAGTTTTCGGGATAACGGGAAATATAACATGCTTCTTGTGTCTTTCTTTTTAGCTACATAGTGCACAAGAATTGAAATACTGGAAAACGTTGACGTTTCCATTTGCCGACGTGACACACTTGCCAACACTTGGCACTTGCCAACACTAGGCAATAGCCCGTGATACTAGTACTTGTATACGAAAAAAAAAAGAGTTTTGTTTTTCAGGGGAGGCCCTAAAAACCCAAGATATAGAAACAATAATTTGTTACATGACACTTCTAACCAGCGCATTATACATACATATACATCTGTACCGTACTATGTGGCATACCTTATGCATCTGTGTCGTCATTAGTACTTTATTGGAACAGTACATATGAATACACTTGGGGGAGAGGCGAGAATGTACTTTATTATATATATATATTTTATGTACTCAATCATCTTTATGTGTATACTAATCAAATGGACAAAGCTGCATATGTTTTAATTATATAGTATCTTTCTAACAGGATATGATTTCAGGTTAATTACTTTGGTGTAGCCGGTTGAATAAATGGCTCCTCCCCTCTCACTGCTATAAGTCTCGTCCATAATTTCCTTCCCCAAGATGGCGGACAGTGTGGCAGAAAATGTGGCTTCGGAGGCGGCTGCGGCCCTGAACGAGACCTTAAACGGGACGGAGGCCGTCAACGGGACGGCCAAAGTGCCGTCCACGCCCGAAGGGATGGCTGTGGCGTACAGCAGCCTGGTGGTGATGGCGCTCATACCCATATTTGTGGGCGCTTTTCGGTCGGTGAAGTACCATAGGGAACAAAAGGTGCGCACGTTTTGCCTTCTGATATCAGTTTTGTTGCGCGCATTTCACGCCACCATCCTCTCTTACAGTGCGGTGATACGTGTAGTTGTTATTTCAGTATTCTCAGTTAGTACATCCGCCGTTTTAGACCGTGAGAGGTGTGTTCATGCCCAGGTTTACCCTCACACTTTTAGGAAAATACGTGTTGCGTCTGTGCGTCTCCCGTATGCGGCTTTCTTGTCTCTGATCTGTGCGTGCAATAAATACGAACCATATGGTGACGACTACGCTCTGTTTGCTTTCCTATTTGTTTCGCCAAATAGTACGGTTGGTTCAAGTGTGCTGAATGCTACAAACTGAGCTTGGTCTGGGACATTCTAATACAGTTGTCTGCGTCTTGGGAAGATTGCATTTCTTGGCACAAAACCGGAAGTCGTCATCACCTTGCAACTGGGCGGCCGCTGATTGGTCAAGAGCGTGGAGAGGTTGAAGAACATGAAAATGACTGAAATGTTTAGAGGGGGTTCTGTACAGGAAGGGAATTGTTGAAATCATGAAATCACCTATTTGGTGAGTAACGGAAGAAAGAAACGGAAATTAAATTGTATTCCATAGGTTTGATTTGGACCGAATCCAGAAGTTGACCGAAGCATGAGTTGTCTTTGTGTGTAATGTTACTTCACAATCGTGAGAAGAGCGTTAACATTCTGTCATGCACCCATATAATCCAGAACACCTGTGCTATTTGTATATTCCCCTCTTAGATCTTTTCTAAAAACAAAATTTGGCTATTCTTAATCAATTTTCATAGTTTCTTAATCAGATTGACTTTAAACCTAAACATGTTTAAATGGTTGAAGAGGTCATTGTTATGATGTGAATACTGGTCCAAATGACTCATGTAACGAGTGGAAAAGTTTGTGTAGAATTCCTTAGGTGACCAAGTACATTTTGTATAACTGACAGTCCTGTGTGTTTTGTATAGGAGTCTGGAGAGAAGGGGGAGACCATGACCAGCAAGGATGCTGCCATGTTTCCCATCATTGCCAGCTGTACTCTCTTTGGGCTCTACATGTTCTTCCAGGTAAGACTTCAATCAATCAGTCGTCCACTGCTGGCCCAGCATCAAGCACTGATATGTGGTGACTGTAGACTTGTCCTTACAAAATTTCATAAAGGTCAAGAAGTTCCCATGAATAAATACTACAGATAAAAGATACATCAGCAAAGCACAGTGTATATGGTATACTGTAAATTCATTTACTTTTACAGTGGTTTTATTTTGCAGTACATATTTGTGTTATTAATGTGTTACAAATTTCCGATTGAGAGATCACCATGAAAGCTGCAAAACACATCACAACAACGACACAAAGGTTTCAAGATTTACAGGATGCTGGGATTGGAGAGGGACAGATCAACACCTTCAGCACTTTGTAATTTGGCTTGGAATCTGTTCTGTGCTGTTTACTAACTTAGCTGTTTCTTGTGACATGTTTCAGATTTTCTCCAAGGAGTACATCAACCTGCTCCTGGCCTTCTACTTCTTCTTCCTGGGAGTCTTGGCATTGGCACACATCTTAAGGTATACCTTGTCCCTTTACTGTGTTACCATTCAGTGTAGAACCTGATAACATAACCTAAGCATTGCTTTGAGGCAAAAGTGGGCTGGTCACTGTGGGCAGAAGGAGTTGTTCAAGCTCTAAACACCAGCAGTCATAGAAAATGATGAGTGTTAGTTGTGTTAACACTTTGGGAGTCCAACCTGTGTTCAGTGCATTGTCTGTTCCTGTACAGCCCAGTGGTGAATGCCCTGATTCCTGCCTCCTTCCCCAACCAAGACTACCACCTCAAGTTTGCTCAGGGGAAACAAGACAAGGAGGAAGGTAAGGATTTATAGCCTGGGTGCCATCCTATTTGTATACGGGAGCTCCCATACTCACTCCCTAAGCAAGTATGGGAGCCCCTGCATACAAATAGGATTGAACCCAGGCTAAAGGATTTATCCAGCCTCAGACAAAGTGTTTACCTCCTTTGCTTTGCATTTATTTGAACATAATCTGGAACTTGTACCGTATATATGATGGTTGTGTGCTTGTTACCAATACCAATTTCTCCTTCAGAACTGATGGACTACCACTTTGACCGTAAGGACCTGGTCTGCCTGGGCATCTGTACGGCCATCGGAGTGTGGTACCTCATGAAGAAGGTGAGCACAAGACAGTTCAGGATTATAAGATTGCAGGGCACAGGGATCTGAAGCATCTCTTTTTGAAATATCTTTCATCTCCCAATTTTTTTAACAAGAAATATCTTCCATTTTTCACTGTTCACAACCCAAGGTTGATATCTATTTCTACTGCAATCTTAAGTCAAATAAACCATGTATTTTAAAATTAATGATGATGGATTCAGTTGTCCAGAAGGGAGAGACCAGGAAATATGGACCTGCCAAGTCATTGTGTCAATGAAGATACAATTGAACCCTTTGTGTATGTTCATGGTCTCAAACAAGAGAATGTTTTGAATTGAAGGAAACCTTTAAATCATGTTTTTCTTCTTGCTTGCAGCACTGGGTGGCCAACAACCTGTTTGGGCTTGCGTTTGCCCTGAACGGTGTGGAGCTGCTGCAGCTGAACAGTGTCACCACAGGCTGCATATTGTTGGGGGGACTCTTCATATATGACATATTCTGGGTAAGTCTGTGGTGATAAAATGTTGTTTTTGTCAGGTCAACTGTGTAACAGGTAGACGATTGTTTGACAACGTGCCTGACAGCCATGGGTAAAGCTAAATTCCATGGAATCTAGCAGAAGTGATAAATATGAACATGGTACTGCACTAATTAGCTTTGGAAACTATTTATTTACCAGTATTCTTGTTGATTATTGCCTTGTTGTCTCTTCATTTTCCTCATTTACTGTTGTTTGCCATGTACATAATATATAGTACATGTAAATGTGTCTTTTAGTGAGTGATTGTACTCCAAGACCTTTGTTTCTTCAATAGTCAGAAAAATATGTTCTCGTACATGTATTTTTTTTAGGTTGTTTTCTTTTGTTTCATTTTCTTCTGCTTGCTTATGCTACACATGTGGGTCTCTTACAGGTGTTTGGTTCATCCCAGGTCTTTGGCACTAACGTCATGGTGTCAGTAGCCAAGTCCTTTGAGGCACCAATCAAGTGTAAGTAAAAGTAAAATTGTCTGGGGAAGAACATTTGCCCAACTATAGTAAAATGTTGAACTTTATTCGGACACAAAGTTGCACAGAGATCAAATTTTCAACGACCACTGTCGCCTTCATCAGGATAATGAATTGTCTCAAAAACATAATCTCATTCATTATCCTGATGAAGGCGACAGTGGTCGTTGAAAATTTGATCTCTGTGCAGCTTTGTGTTGGAATAAAGTTTAACATTTTACTATGATTACTACCAACACAAATGAACTTTGATGATAATTTGCCAAACTAGATTACTTCTTATGGTACATTTTGAAGGAGTCTGGACCCTAAATAAGTATGCTAACTAGGATGGCAAACAGGGTAGGTACATGTAGCGTCACCGTGAAGTGATATGCCATCTATATTGGGCAGGATTGGGATGGTTAGATTTCAGTTTAAAATTTTGGGATTTGGCATTCACATGTTTGCATTAACCTTTGTCATCCATAGGATCAAGTCAGTGTGGTCCAACAATGTGACTTCTCACACCTGTATACAAACAGTTTATTGCTGCTCTATTTCCTACTCTACAGTGTGCACATTCCAACAAACATTGATACTACAAATGCCCTCCCTTTCTGCACTCTGCCTTCCGTCCTACACAATATGTACAATTTAAAAGAATATATGCAAAGTGACTGGAACACCCAGTATGCAAACAGTTTATTGCTGTTCCATTTCCTACAGTTTTTTGTCAGCTACATAGAGACTTCCACACCTGCTTACCGACAGTTCATTTTTGCTCCCTCCTCCACAGTGGTGTTCCCACAGGACATCCTGGAGAGAGGCCTGGAGGCCAACAACTTTGCCATGCTGGGGCTGGGGGACATCGTCATTCCAGGTCAGTGGAGGAAGGGATGGGTGTGTGAGTGTGTGTGTGTTTGTGTGCATGTGTGCAAGGTGGAAGCAATGAGGCAGGCTTTGACCTGGTGTTGTCTTGTCTTGTCTGGGGGCAAACCAAGTGTCATCATCATCTTCCTCTTAGGCTGTAAGTCAAGTTGTAAATGATGAGCAGAACAAGTATTTTGATTGTCTAAGTAGTTGTGCTGACTTGTAAAGGTAACGAATTATGTGTATTGTAAGTTGATATATGATACAACACTGAAACCACTTGGATGAAATTCTTAAGTCCTTCTCTTTGTTGCAGGCATATTTATAGCCTTGCTGCTCCGTTTTGATGTGAGGTGAGTGAGAAAGACTCTGGGTACTGTGGATACACATTTGCATTGTTCCTGTTTTAAACAGAACAGACTAACTAAAGGTTGTTTCACCTGGTCACCTGGTATGATTTTCTACCCAGGGTGCCATCCTCCATAGTTTCCACCAGCTCTCTAATGTTGCTGGCTACCACGGTAGCCAGTGACATTAGGGGGCCGGTGGAAACTACACAGCATGGCACCCAGGCTAATGATTTTCACTATGACTTAAAAGTTGGAGAAACTGCAAAGATATTTTATTTAGTAAGAAAAACAGATGAAGTGTGTGAGCTTTAATGTTGATGTTAAAAAAAAATGTGTACAAAATGAGAGGACCATCATCCAGTATAGTTGTGATTTGTTCCACTCACACCATCCCTGTGTGCTCCCCACAGCCTGAAGAAGAACAGCAAGCTGTACTTCTACTCCAGCTTCATCGCCTACTTTGTCGGCCTGCTGGTCACAATACTCATCATGCATGTCTTCAAGCACGCACAGGTGAGAGAGAGCCAGCAGCACTGGTACCATGGTGATTTGGTAGCACTGTACGCACTGTAGCGTGCGTAGTTCAGTGGGTAGTGACCCTGCCTGGACAAAGAGGTTGGGAGTTTGAATGGTTGTTGCTCACCCAGCATGCACGCCACTGGAAAGGGTAGCAGTCCTTAGGATGGGCCACTGTTCATTGTGCTTGTTGAAAAGAGCTAGGGAAATTTCCCCGGTACAATGAACCTGTAAATACTGTACATAGCACCTGTCTTCTCTGTCATGACCAGTGGGAGATTACTGTAGCTCATCAGTGAGCTAAAACTGGTACGAGATCACTTTCTTTCTTTTCTTTTGGTAGCATAGCTAGAGTTAGGTCATTAGGTGTTTATCTTAATATCTTAAATCTCATTATCATTTCATGTACATTTAGTGCTTATGTTTTGGTTTGATTCCACAGCCTGCCCTACTGTACCTGGTCCCTGCCTGTGTGGGGACTCCACTGTTTGTGGCACTTGTGAAGGGGGAACTAGTGCAGATGTTTGGGTGAGTTACAGATTAGCTGCAGTTCGGGCATGAAATGCTAGGTGGTGCTAGATATACACACTAACAATGCACTTGGACTCTCATGTACAAATGTTGTGACTCTCGTTTTGGTTGTGCAGATTCATCAAGCACTTAGCAATAACATTCAAATTGATTGATTTGAGTAGAAACTAATGATATTGGAATGTAACCTAGCAATTTGCTATTGTCACACATGTAATAGTATTACATTCTAACATATTTCTTCGACACTTTTCTTTAGTCCGATATTGGCAGAGGACCACGATATGATAGAGTAACACTGAAATGTAGCTCTTATGTTACTGTCAGTCATTTCTTTGTCCTACTAGCTACCAGTACAGTGTATGTATCAACTGTAAACCTGGTTTTGACTGACTGTTCTTTTCTATCTCAGCTATGAGGACAGCCCAGAGGAGAAAACTCCAGAAGGAACTGCCAATGACAAGGAAGGGAAACAGGAAGTAAAAAAAGACAAATGAGTAAAAAAAAAGGAAAACATCCCCTCCAGGGATTGGTAGATTCCAGAGTTTGCCTGAGAGGAAGGTAACATTTCAAAGATCCATTCCTCAGGCAGAGGCAATAAGTATCATAGAGAAACCTCCCTTGGATGCAATGGTATTGTCCAAATAAGTATTACAAACTATGAGAGAGAGGATGATACTATTAACATCAAGGGAGAAATTTCAGCTTTAGTTTTGATTACATATACACAAGACCTATAACTGTAGATATACATATTGATGTATTACATTCATTTGTTTTTGAGATTCTTTCTTTTTTGGGTACTTAACCTACATATTATCAGCTTTGACAAATGTCAGTATGGAGGTACAACAAAAGTTACATTGTTTAAATCATAATTTACAGTATGGAAAGCCTTATTTATTGCTTGCTATAATATGGCACTGAAAACTTGCTACACACTGATTTTGATGAAAAACAGCCTCGACTTTATAGATGGACATTCCAACAACACCTTGTGGGCTGGTTCACTTTGTTCATTTCCAACAGGTTGACACTTCCATCCCACTGTGTTGTTCATTAACTAAACTTAGTACAAAACATTAGAATTGCCTGTGCAGTGTTGTAGTTTTCATATCTTTAATATACATCGAAAAACATTGTTTGGTATGTGACAAAAGAACAATTTTCAAAGAGCATATTAATCTACATTTGCATATCTGAAGTTCTTCCTCTCAACGAGAGGCTTCCTAAGGGCCAAGAAGAAAAGTGACTGTAAAAGAAGTCTACTCTGACATCAATAATAACACAAAGCGGAGATGACTACCAAGCTGTTGAACTGGGAAAGGAAACCAAAGTGTGTCAAAAGATGTGGTGATGTGATAAACTGCAAGAAACTATAATGATGCCAGGAAAAAAACATGATGAATACCAGGAAATTCTGTGAAAGAAAATTCTATGACACAATAAATATGTGAAGAATGTGCTGTACACATGCTTTCCTTTTGATTTTGTTCACTGTACGATACGGAAGTTTATTAAAACTTTGGAAGGGGACATTGAAGCAATATTCCAATGAAATTGCAGTTTTCTGACTGATTAGGGTTTTTCTCTGCCAGCCTAGTTTGATATGAAATCGCATTGAAGCCTTTCTTTTGGTCAAGGTCAATGCAAGGTTGCAGTGAAACCATCAGCTGTAATACTTACTCTCAATACTGGCGTTATCTTCAATAGCCATCACAGAGGACTGGTACTGAAGAAAAATGTTTTATTGCTGTTGCCCTCTGAACAATCGCAGAAATAAGAGGTGACAATTTTGCCAATATACATACCTCTCTAGGTCATTATGCCTACCCCCAGCTATGATCTGTAGCTATGCTATGCTTTATATGCCCAGCAATAGTAACTGAGCAACAACTGTCGCTGATCTGTTTGACAGCTTTGACATTCATGTGCCCAATTAGTCTCGTAAACCTCTCAGAATATCTCACTGAAATCTTAGCTATTTGTGTCAACCAAACTCCAAATCAGGCTTGTTGGTCATCACGTAGGGGATGATTTGGTCTGAAACTGCAATTTCTTACCAGTAGAAGTGATAGGGCTCAAAGATGAAGAAGCTGTGCTGCAAGGAAGGCCCCAAGGGTGTACATGCAGTGCAGTTTTGTCCTAAACTGCTAGGTGGTGCTACTGCACCCTCACCAAAATAGTCATGCACCTGTTGGCTTTACAGACAGATGGGCGGGATCATTCACATGTTTACTGCCCAGCCCTGTTTTCTTCCTGTGTCCATCTGTACGTCTCCATCTTCATTGGTCCTCTCCCATCTCTATTGCATCTATTTTTTCAATGAGGTCACATTTCTTACTATATTTTTCGACATTGCGAACATAGGTTAGCCTTTTGTAGTGGCAAGACCACACAGCTGTGGGAGTCAAGGATGACATGACGAACCTTCCACATCCATCTGGCCTTTAGATACTTGTATTCAGTGTATGACAGTGATTGCCTTTTTAATTGGGACTCATTCTTCTGTTGTTTCTGTCTAAATGATCTGTAGAAGATACATGGATAAATAGTAGTTGATATTGTTAGACAGTAACGGTGTGTGTAGTTCAGGTTTTGGAACAAAGTTCAGTAATGGCTGATTTCTTGTAATTTTCCCCTAGAAAGCAAAGGTCACTACTGGTAGTTAAACAAGATGTTTTATTGTTTTTATTAGGTTTTCTTCAAAACATAATTCCATTATGTTGGGGGGAATATCTGATTTGATATTAACCATGTTGGAAAATGCTATCCCCTGTTTGTTTGTCACAGTTTGTTGCCCTCCAGCATTTGCATTATCAGTGCTGGAAGTCATAGGTTTTATTTGGGCTCATTATGAGGGTATCTCGTACAGCATTTGCTACATGTGCAGTTTGTTCCCCCTCCTGATAAGGCTGTGCACCCGCCATCTTATATCACCCTGCAATAGCTGGGAAAAAATATGCCTGCATCTGTTCTTGAGTAGATGGTACAAATTCTGAGCATTTGTGCTATATGCATGTTCAGAACGCCCAAGGTTATTTAGTTACTTTGCAAGACCTTTAGTCATTGATGTTTGATCAACAAGCTCAGATTTTGTGTAATAACAATAAAAATCTGCACAATGTTTGCTCTTAGACATTTCCACAAGTGAGGCACTTGACTGTGTAGCCTAAAAAGTCAATGTTGCAGTTATTAATTTTCACGAGCTATATATAAATGATACAGTGAAGAGCAATTATGTGAACATAACAAAACCTACCATGCAATAAGGAATTGAAATCCCCAAGAGGAATGTGCAAGCATGCAACAATGATGTTTGTAACTTTCACAGCAATGGTGAGCTTCGTGACAGGCAAAGCAGCATCAGCGTTGATATAGAATAGAAAAATAACATTACACTTGCCAGTAGGAGGCCTCCGGCTGATTGACATGTTGGGCTGTCAACTGTCAGAGCTCCATGTTTGAGGAAGCATCTACCCTTACAGTATGTTTGTTGGATGGAGAGTACTGTTGTTTTTACATTTTGTCTGCTATGAAATCAGCCAATCTGTATAAAGCCTGTTCACAGTAGATGTCTGTCTTTCATTTTGAACTGACTTTGAGTTTCCCAGAAACCTTCCCATCAAGTAGCGGAAGTTAGAGTTGGCTTGCCGACTCTTTTTAAAATGCATCCACATGGGTGATGATTTCTTTTATCTATCATCTGCAGATATGTGCATGAGATGCTCTGATTGATGGCTCTCATTTTCCACATTGGCACTAGTTTGGCTTGCTCCAAGGTCAAAATGTCACACATCCAATCTGTTACTGATCTTTTGTATTGAAAACAAATTCCCCAACAATATTGGTCAATTTTGAAACTGTGAGACTTCCTGTAGATACATTTCCTGGTGTGGATTGACTGAAACATTTGCCCAGTGGAATGCTGTAGTAACCAAAACCAGGAGGAACAGTGTGGAACTTGGAGGCAGACTGTCAACTTGGGCTCCTCCATCCATTTGTCTTGATCAGAGGAGGAGGAAGGAGAGTGTGGAGCAAACCAGGAGGAGGATGTAAATCTTTCATAATAATACCGGCACCCCAGGTGCTTTTGTTTGTGAGGTATATCTTTCAAGTAACAAATGTAGCTGGAAGATGTTGATCCTTGATTCTCTGAAAAAGAAATGGAACCAGGAGGAAATAAAAATCATCGAGACCACATGTCACCAATTTTATTGTAGATGTGGGAAGAAGAGTCCAAACTGAAGATTTCTTTGAAGAATGCTGAAAAGGATATCTTTCAGAGTTGAAAAAGAACAATTACTGGGGTGACATGTACTGTAACCTCCAATATGAAGGTCTGGCTGTCAATTGCTCAGCTGGAAGGGAAAGAGACTTTTGTTTTGGCATCACTCAGACATGAGTGAAAGGAGAGATGCCACAGTTATGTCATTCATGTTGAGGGGTGGCTGGAAAAGGGATTTACATGGGGAATAAACTTATGTTGAGTGGCTTCTACGGTAAAAGGCTGTCGGTTGTAAGATTGTTTCAAAATCAGTTTTTGGAGGTTAGTCTTTTGTTTGATACAGGTATTGCTGTAATGTTGGCCACCAGGCAGTTCTAGACACACAAAGACTAGTGGTAGCCCCATGCCGACCCCAGGGATCCCCATCTCACATCAATATTGACATTCCTCCCATACCCAATCATGACCTTTCATAACCACCTATCCTCCCCACTCTCTCATGAACAGTTAAGCCTTTAAACCTTACGAAATGTGTATATTTTTCAGCGAAGTGTAGCCGCTTTGCAGGGATGAAAATAACTGGGCGCTTCCCACCTGTCCCAAACATGAGCTTGGACATCAGTCATCAGTCCTGAGCCACCCATAGCAAGACAACATGTGTTCTCCCTAATTATAGCTGGATGGATGGGGAGATATGTTTTTGGTCTTGCACATGTGCCGCAAAATGCCTACCCAAATATTTGAATTCCAATTGGACAAATGGGAGCTGTACAGGACTGCTCACTGCGGTATCTGTTGTACACTCTCGTTCAGATGCACTTTGCCAATCACACATATTCCCAGGTAGCACCCTACCTCTTTTCAACATTGTTTCCAGGAAAAATTTTCTATGCCTTTTGCCAGAATTAGGCAGAGCTATGTGATTTATTTAACTTATCCAGGGTAGTACTGATAGTACCAAGTGTGTGGGCCTTATTTGTGTGGTGCAGAAAGGGGCAGCACAACTGCATGATATTAAATTATCCCTGAAAATTTGGTGCATCGTCCGGGGCCTAAAAATACCTGTTGGCGACGGCGGTCATCTGTGGTCTTCACTCCGGCATCAAAGGCGGGGTAAAGATCGTTAATTGCTGGGATGGTCAAGCGAGATTCCGCGGGAGACGGGACAGGGATAGCGCAGGACAGCTGCGTCACTTTCTCTCCCAGTCAAGGGTAAACATGACATCGAGTGGCCGGTCACAAACCACAGTTTTTTTTCGACCATAATTTATCGCCGACAACGGAGGAAGGAGACTTAATTGCATTCATTAAATATTCATGACTAATTGTTTTGAATTGTGACATACTTTTATTTTCAAATGACAGATATTAAATATCCTTAAAATTATCATACTGATGACTACCGGGTAACTGCTACATCAGGCCAATATCATACTAGTAATAATTGTTTTTTATCTGTGCTTACACACCTCTCAATTTTGTCATCCATCATTGATCAGATATAATGTTTGATGTGCAGAGAAAACGACTTTCTAATCAGAAGAATGTATGAATGTACACAGACTCAGAATATCTTACAACAATGTCTTATGACGAGGACATTTCCACAGCCTTCTAACCAAGCCTTGTCAGGTTGTGAGAGGAGAAATATCACAAAAGGAACTGACAAGTCAATGGCTATCATGGCCAAGAATGTGCACAGAGGATTGTCTCGTAATATTTGCCTGGAGATCTACATGTAGAATGTTCTTTTTTTTATATAGGCAGTTTTATTTACAGGTAATTGGAACAAATTGAAAAAACTCTATATGCTTCATGGCAAACTTTACACAGGCAGGTAAAAACACTCTTATTGGTACCACACTTTGATGACTTTGAACCCTGCAATTAACACTCTTTTAAAAGGCATTGTTCTATGATAGAACAGCTGTCTAAAAAGGTGACAGTCATTTTCAGGGAGAAAAGAACAATACAAACAAGGTGGGAGCAGGTGAAGGGGGGTTCACCTGTCCAGCTGAGAAATACTGTTGTCTTCACAGCAGGGTACGAGTTGACCACAGGGAGTGTATTGTCTGTATCAGTAACAAGTTCAATTTGAGATAATTAAGTGGTAACCACTAATTACCTGAAATTACTATTAGGCACCTGGTTCTTTCAGAACACAGGTGCAGTAAGAAACCCTGTCTGTACTTTTGAACAGACAGGTACACTTTCCAACATCAAAACCATCTCACATGCAGCG